CATGACCAGAACCCAACTTTATCTTTAAGACACTTCTATTATGCTTTCACATTGTTTTATTAAAAATTTACATCATGTTTCTAAAAATTCAGGTGTCACCATGACAACAGCATATTTAAATCCAACTATAACCTTATATAACTCAAACTTTGAATGCAATCAAAGATGTAGCTTGAAATTAGACACTTATAATGGCCGTATCATCATGCTGATATAGCTTTGCTAATTTAATCGTATTTATGACATGTGAAGTTTTTTCCTCTGTGTGTATTGATTGATCCGTTACCATGACAATGCCTCTGCTATTTTCTTCTATAACCAATTACACAAGACCTATCTGTTGCAAAAGTGAAGTCAAATCTTCAAAATCCCCTGAAAACCCACTACTACTGTGCGTCAGATACTGCACAAGTCGCTTGTTAAAGTCATAGCCATTGGAGATATGCAGTGTGTTTTGAAAAGGCTTTAAGGGCTTTAGTAGTACCATGGTCCAGTTTTGACGGGGAATATTAATTAAAATATTCATCTACAAAATGAAGGGAAATGACCAGCCTGAGGCTTTCAGTTGGGGATTCATTAAGACTTATATTCCTGCATATATAAAAAAGTACTTGACTTTGTGAACTACAAGACTTCAGATCCAATCAGCCAGAGGGTTTCCAAGGTTACTCATAGATCAGTATTCGAATAATAAACATAGGGAGATGTTGAACCCAACCTTGATAGCAAACTACTCTAGATGAAAGCAGAAAAATCAGACAAGTGCACTGGTGAAAGTTTGAACGAAATCGGACAAGTTGTGACATATAAAAACTCACTTACTGCCATTTTAAGATCTTCTAAGAAGACATATTTCTATTATTTGTTTCATAGGACAAAAGGTGACAAGAAAAACACCTGGAATAATATCAATGAATTATTAGGGAAAATGCAGCGAAATACTCCATTAAAAATGTATCATGATAATATTCACCTGTATTCACATAATGAAATTTCAGATTATTCAACAATTTTGTTGTTGCTTTAAAAAAATTGACAGGATCTTCCTACTTCAAGTCATATCATTATTTCATGATTTTATGCATGTTATAACAAGGGCTACTATTCTACATTCTTAAAACCTACATTTGTATGTTAAATTTTGAAATTTGTTTCTTCTATGAAATTCTTTAAAAATCAAGTGGGTCTACTGATATGGCTCCCAAATTTCTTTTGTAATAAATCTTTATTGCAATGGATTATACCCGACAGACTCAAAGTATCCAAAATAGTACCAGACTGAGTGTATAAAAAGAATAACCCTCAAAATCTGGATAATTACAGACCTACATCACTGCTACCATTTATCCTAAATTAGTAGGAAGTATATGGATTTTACTTGCATGATTTTGTAAAACTTTTAAACTTCCATGGGGCTTTTTCAATTATTGCTAAGTTGTACATCACAAAATATCTATGAAGGCAATTTTTACACCAGATGGTTAATGGACCTAAAAAAAGTTTTTCACAACATTGATCATAACATACTCATTCATAACTGAAATTTAAACAGGCTAGCTTTAGATTTATTGGAAAGTTATTTGAGTAATAGGTATCAGTATGTTATGGTCAATGGAGTCCAAACCTAATGTCAACTCATCAGATATGGAATTCCACAAGGCCCCTCCTGTTCTTTGTTTATTTAAATTCATCTACATTCCATTATTCATTATTTGCTGATGACACTTGTGTCATAACTTCTCACACAAATTATTCATAACTTGATGTCCATTGCAAATAAAGAAGTAAACAAATTTTAGAATTGGTTATGTGGCAATAAACTACCGATAAATCTTGAAAAAACAAAGTACGTCATTTTTCGAACAAGGAAGAGCAGGTTTCTATTGATAATGGATAATAATAATAATCTTATCATTGGTGGTCGAAATATATCATGAGTTATTAATATTTCTTTCTTAGGTAGGTAATATAGTCAATGGATGTCTTACCTGGAAGCCTCATGTTATGAATGATTGTTTAATGAAAGAATGAAGTACAGGAATGCTGTCAGTGCTGTTATTGTAATGTGATATTCAAGTGGGTTCTAGTCTAGATTAAGTAGCAAGTGTTATATATCACTGGGAAGCACGATAGCTCTACTTTCAGGTAATATGCATGAATAAAAGAAATGAATTCTGTTGTTGCATCTGTGATTTTGAGCCTGGGGGTAACAGATGAAAACTACTTTTACTGGGAAGTTGTTGGGAAAATCCCCCTTTGGAATTTGAAATATTCATTACGGTTTAAGGTAATGCAAAAATTGGATGGATAGTAATTCTTTGAAATTTTGATATATTTGGATGCCCATGTGGGTGTATTTTAAGCGCTAGAAATTTTAGCCCCTAAAGCCCTTCTGCTTTTGAGAAATTGAATAATTAAAGTTTACTGGTGCTCTCTGTAAATTTCAAATATTTCAAATAGCGCCCAAGGCCATTCCATGGTAGCTGCGACCATGAAAATCTCAGAATATGCAGTTCTGATATATAATTTTCCAACCAGGAATAGCAAATAGGTTGATTGTAGTCAAGAAACATTGTTTTAAAGCTAAAGTAATATCAGCCTTGAGAGGGAGCTATAAAACATAAAGAGTTTATTATTAACAATTTCATCACTTTAGACTTGATTTTAACCGCGACAACGCTTCCAATATATTAATTTGAACCAAATTCATGACCCCATACCAAAACTTTGTATTACCTTTAAGGATTTTCATTCAAAGTGGTATGTGCATTCATCTAAAATAGAAGTATTCAACACAAATATTATCTCTCTCTCTCTCTCTCTCTCCATCACATGTTTACACTCTTAATTTTCAGTTCCAATTTCTTCAGGCATAGTAATTTGGAAGTAATCAAAAAAAATATGAGTTAGGTAATATTTGCATACAAAAGAATGTGAACAAATAATTATAAGTTGTTTACGGTATTTAGTTCTGTAATATGTTTGTAAAGCACTGTGATGCAAATTGCAGTAACAAAGCTATTTAAGTGTGAATATTATTTTGTATTGTATTGATATTGCACAGGGTTGTCAATACTTTTGTATCTAAACATGCACTTATATGAATTTGTGTTTTATTTTATTTCCTTTTTTTTGGGGGGGGGGGTCTGTTTTATCTTATGTGAGACGGGGCCCTTTGTTACCATACTTGTCTTAGTTAAACACTCTCTTAAAAATATTTCATATGAGGAAAAAGGAGGAGACATTTGCATGATAATGTGTCCGTGAACTGCCCTTTAAATCCATTTGGACCATTTTACTATATACATGTATGTAAATTTTTAAAAAAACTTCAACATTGCATTTATTCGATTAGTCATGTTTTTCTAAACATTGGAATTAAAGGAGATAACATATATTTCATACATTTTTATGCTCACTATTTAAAATTTAATTTGCAAAGATGAAGCATTTCTTTGAAAGATCACATTATTCTTTATCTGTTCATCAGCAAATACATGAAGGCGCAAAAAAGGACATTAAACAACAAATAGTGCTTGAAATGTTTAAACAAATATAGACATATCAAAATCATGTGTTCTTGCATGATCTGATCAACGAGAGCTATGTTTCTAGGAGACCTTTCCTTTCATTTTAATCCTATTACTGAACCTTCATCTCCTTCTTGTCTTCTTTTATCAAAATCAAGACACAACACAATAAAGGAATGCCCAGAATATGCAACCTAGAATTTAAATCAAATATGCAGTGTAGGTTCAGATCATAGATTTTGTTGAATATATATATACTTCATAATATATCTAGACAATTCCCAGATTTTAAACATTTATATAAAAGTACCTGTAACTTAACTTTCTATCTATGAATCATTTCAGAAAAATGTCGTCCATCATAGAAGCATTGTCAAGTGGTCTATATACTTGACGGATGGTTTTGAATTATGTAGTCGACCCTGGACACGACATCAGTGTCATTAGGCATGGCATTAATCTACACATTCTCAACTCAGGTGAAGGAACTACCAAATACCTGGGTCAGTATTAAATTAAGTACTGAATTAAGTTAGTATTTTAATTCAAATTTTGTAATATGGCTGAACTCTTATTCAAATCACTAGCAGTGCTAGTTTACAAGTGTGCCCATACTTTGGTGCCGGCAGCCTAAGCGTCTAGCTACCCATGACCTCCACTTCTCAAGCTGTACTTACACACAGTTAGGAAAAGGATTGCATTGTCCTGAATATATGCCTAAAATTCAACCAAATGAGCTTCAATATTGACCTTGGACTAGTTATTCTGCATGTGACCGAAACACACACATATCCTTACCCAGCTCAGTGAATATCTTAATTGCAAGATTTGCAGTGAGTTACATCTTGCTGTGCATCTCGCTCGGCCCGAGGCTAGTGGTACTGCGTATCAAGACGAGTTCCAATTATTATTCTTGATATTCTAAATTCTAAGACAGCGGTTTAACCTGGTAAATTCCATCACCAAGTCATGTTGGTTGTCTTCCCGGATAATTGAGGAAGCCATTTCTTTTAAACCAGCAATCAAAAACTATTACAAATTTCGCCCTAAAAGGTAACTTTGCTATTGTATGAAAGCTATTCACAGTCTATTGTTTATGCGCTGCCGGTGGGGCCGGGGCGCCAGCCATGCAGGATAAGACGTACACGAAATGACTTTATAAACTTATCAGCCTGGGTGGGGGCAGACAGTGAGTTGCTTGTTCAGATTTTTGTGAAGTACTGAAAGGAAAAATGACGTTTACACAAAGTCATACGGTATGTATTTGTATTCTACGTCTACTAATAGCTTGCCATCGATGTATGGTTGTTTTCACCTCGGATGGAGTCTTTAACTTAGATTTTAGAGAAAATTAGATTGCAGAGAAAAGCTTCACTTTTCCAAATGGGGAAAATGAAAACGAAAGGATGAGATTAATGGTAATTCTAAATCTAAATTGGACTACAGTTGGATTAAGGTATTCAAACTTACCTCGGCAGTATGAATGGCCAACTTTAACCCATGATTTCTGGCCCTCTGAAGGAGTGGTACTAGTGCCTTGACATCACCAAACTAAAGACATTGTAAATCATGAAAAATATCAATATTAACAATTAACAAACTACATCAACTTCAAGTTACTTTAAATAAAAAAATAAATGGACACTTGAATTATATGGGAGGAAAAATGATAAATTCTCAGAATTCAAATCATTGATGAAGAGACAAAACCCCTTCCCTCATCTTTCCTTTTTTTAAATGTATGACATTGCCCATTGGAATCTGTACTGATTTGTCACAGGTATTAAATTTTCATTTAGTTGTGTCTTTAATCAAGCAATAAGTTCAACTACTATAATTTGATAGTGGAACCAAACCACCCTCCAACATGTATTTATCCCTATTCTGTTATTAGGAAGGTAATTCTGTAATTTATATAGTGTATCAAACACACTATTAGTGTTAATCTCACTACCCTATAAATGGAGAGGCATTGATTTTCTAAACAAAGGTCTGCTTGTTGAAACAGGATACACATGACCCCTTTGAAGAAAAAAACAGCTTATAGTGGAGATTAAGTAGATTAAAAACATTCAGTAGTTTCAATGGATAGAACTCTACTACTTATGGGATTAGGTGAGCTGTAAAATGTTTTTAAATCATGCAAACAAAGAAGGTACAATTTTTATTTGCTGAACAACCTCACTTCGTTATTTAGCATGCTGAAATAGCCCTCTTCCAAGTTTACACAAAAAAGAAAATTCAAAATACAAGTTGAATAACTACTGGGGTTAAAACTTGCATATAATCATTTACTGAACGAGAATGTAATTTCAAACATATTACCTATAACATTTTTACCAGTTCTTTCAATGAAATACCTGGTCGAGAGGTACCATTAGGTAAGTTTTTTTTCTTTTATTTTCACTTTTTCTGTCCAACAGGAACTTGGTACTTCACTCAGAAGATTACTTTTACACATTGATATATTTTTTTCCAAATGCTTCCACTTGTTTTTAGCTGAATGTGTAATGATAGTGATAATGGATATATTTTCAACTGTATTAAATTGTATTTTAATAAAGAGCTTGTTTCTTGATTGAAAGTTAGCAAGTATACAATAAAAATAAACACCAAGTTTTCGTCTTGTAGCTTGATTTGTTCTAAAGATAAACGTAAGCATATTACAAGCACATACTTTTAGTTGTTAACATATCCACCTATATCAGATCATTGCAGTCAGCAATGATTTATATAGCTGCCAAGAAAAAGAAAAAGGGAGAAATGTTGACTAAATAAAATTGAGAATATACCAACCTGTGGATCTCCGCTGAGGTCTAATCCTACACACTTGTCTGTTGAAGCTTGATACTCCAATGCAAGACTGACCACCTCTCCTGCTTCCTCTAGACTCATTCTCCTATCAATGGATGGTAGAAACCTGCACATCAACACAAATCAAAGAAATGTTTTATAGTGACCTCAGCATGACACTGATCCGTTAATATACAAGCAATAAAACATATACAGTCATTTTTTTTTACAGTGAATGTTGAATTCATTTGTATATCAGGGGCAGAAGACTGTAATGATTACTTGATTACCATACCTAATTTATAATTGTCTTCCAGACTTTGAGCACAACAAAAACTAGTTCCCCATAATTTTTTTTTTTGATATACATGAATCATACAAAAAACTTGCAAAAGCCTAGCTATTGCTTTTCAATTGATCTAGCAATTTTGTTATTCATTTTTATTTAATTAAAAAGAAATGTGAAAATTCAGGCAGAAGCTTTGAAACACAATCACTATTTCTGGGTATTCAACCTTTTGTCATCAGCAGGGGTGGAATTATTTTGAGAGCGGTTGGGTCAATCGAGAACTCTTTGCCCCCCCCCCCCCCACCCCCTGTGCCATGGATAGTGACTACCACAAGGTGATGCAAACAACACTCTTTTTTCTGTCTATTTTATATTACAGTATATACCAAGTAGTCTTTGATTCATTAAATTAATTTTTAATATAGGATAGAGGAGTCTATGCTCCCTTAATTCTCATCATCTGTTATCTTTTTTTTTCTAAAAAAAAGGGGGGAAACAAATCTGACAATCATACTACCTTCATGTAGTATGACGGCATATCTTGAGAAACTCACTTCACTATTGTGTCAATACCGTCGAGCTCGCATAATTCTATTCCCTTCATCACAGCGTCAATATACAGCCTCTTGGTCATTCCTGGAAGAAAACAGATAATTTAAGTTGCATGTATTTCTAAATCTTTATATCAGCATTAATAAAATTGAGAAATTTTCGAATCTCCATTTTTTCTTTTCATGAGGACTGTAAATGTATAGATATTTTTATAATAGATCATCTTTTATGTTGATGATCTTGCAAGCAGATATGTTATTGTATTTCTGAAACAGAAACTAATAAAATTATGTTTCTTATTTTTCAAATTTTGCCTAACTTTGGATAGACATGTCTTTGCACTTGGTGAAATCACTCCAATATTAGATTATGGAAAACATTTTAAGAAGGGCCACCAGGGCCACAGAAATGCTTCTCTTAATAGACAGAAGTTTATTATTAGACATGACCTTTTTGGAGATTTCATTGCAATCTAAAAAGCTTTACAAATATGATGAGATGATATGATAGCCCATACCTATAAATAACATATTAGATCATTTAGATGTCTTAGCTATACATTCAAATTTCAAGCAAGCAAATCCTAATCCGGTAGCTATAAAAATTTATTAAAAAACATATCTTTGCAGCTAGATGGCTGAATTGCACGGTTTTACAGATCGAAAAATCCATTATTGTTCTTTACCAGTAATTGATATTCACACAACCATTTGACAGGCTAAATAGGAAGTATTGAAATGTAGCCTTCCTGTCAATATTTTTATGTGTTTTAGGTCTCATCGTCTAGTGGATACGCCACTGGATTGTGGATCACATGGTTTGTGGTTCGATCACCAGCCCAGTCTTTGACAAGACATTAATCTGCATTTGCCACTCTCCACCCAGTCGCAGTAATTGGGTACCTGATAGGAAGTTATTCTTGGATGCTCTCAGTGCCTTAGGGCAGCTTGGCTAAAACAAGGTACTTTGTGTGCACTTTGTGCATCCTCTGGGATGGATATGGGTGCAACAGATATATATAGCTAGTAGTAGTAGTACACGTATTACCATTTGTAGCATCATCCCTAGGTGTGCTTCGGAGTTCAAGGTACTTTACACCATCACTGGCAAACTCCTTGATGACATCATAGGTTACCATGGAAACAGCCTTAACGTCTTTGATGACTCTATGGATAAGCTTGAATGTTTGGAAACACCTGATTGAACATGGAAATAAAATAGATATAGGATGGCTGGTGATTTTGTTCACTAGTGTGGGAGAAACACATCTGCTTTATGATCCCAGACTTTTCATTGTACTATAGCTATTAAAATACAAAGTTCAATAATATAATGCCATAAAAATCATCATCATCAACATTTTCAGTGGGGGTCCATGCGTAGGTTTGTTGTGCACGTGTGTTCAGGGTAAATATTATTCTTGAGGCCTGAATAATTGAAGATTAGACTGCATTTGCTATGAAAATATTGCATGACTCTAGAATATAGAATGACTGTCAGGAGGACAATCTGAATATAACATCAATAGTGCAATACCTGTAACAGTCATTTAATAGTTGATTCTCTTTCTTATGTTTTTCACTCACCCATTCATTGTCTGTCTTTCCCGCTTTTCCACCAAGGTTCTCCATCTGTGTATTTCATTCAAGGTTTCCTTCACGCTTTTATCTGAGGAGGAGTTGGTTTTCACTGCTAGCTTCTGTAATGTAGATGGACTTATGCTTCCATTGATGTGGGCATGTAACTCCTAGAGAAACAATTGAAATGAAAATATACTAGCTGCTAAAAATAGTAAAATAAAGTGCTAAAAAAACTGCTATGCTATTCTACCTGTGTAAATTTGCTTCCATTATGATGATTGTGTTCAATTCAATACATTATTGGATTCAAGTTTTAAAGAAATAAAAAGTTTGACTAGTATAGTATGAAACTAAGGGCCACTATGACTATAGAGATAGGTCTAAGTCATATTGTCATAAATTGAAATACCCGATATGCCAATGCAATGGTATAGGCAATATCACGCATGAATTCCAGCATGTGGGACTGTACTGGAGATGTGACTCTAGAGTCTAGTAGGATCGTGCCATTCACAGAGATCGTTTGTCTTTCTTTCTTTTTTAGATGTCACAGTGACATATTGATCTATTATACACATAATTAATTATTTTACTTACGACTTTAGGCAGTTGTTGACAGTATTCAAGATCCACTTTGCTTGGCGATGCCATCATAATAAAAAATACTCTACTAATGGCTTTCCATAACTTATGTTCGGTCTATACCACTTATCCACTGATCTCTACGGAAATTTTCCGTAGAGATCAGTGCACTTATCGTCCAACATGAAACTGCTCACGTAAGGCCATGCTTCTAACTAAAAGAATAAGGCAAACGCTTCTTTTAGAAAATAGAAGGATTTCTTTTACTTAAAGGCCCACTGCACTACTTGTAGCTACTTGCGCCCTCTATATAATAAACAATGCCTAATCGGTGACCATTGGTCCCCCATGATCCTCTTTTTCTTATGTCGGAGCTGAGTTGATGAGATAACCACCTGTTCAGTGACCTTGCAGGGCGGTCTAATCCCTCCTGTAAATTATGGCAGATAAGCTTTAAATTAGAATTGAGAAATAGTATATTATTGTCCAATTTTTTGATGCTTTGAAAGTTTTCTCCTTTCTGTAAATTTATTTTTTCTGAAATGAAATGAAATATAGATATGGACGAGAGAGAATAAAACATAATGCGAATATTATATGGGCGAGTCTGTTGAAGCATAATCATTAATCTATGAAGTGCTGATGATTCTCACATTATTATGTGGGGGGGGGGGTCTTCCTTTTTCTTTTCTTTTTTTTTGTCCTTCTTTTTATTAATTTGGACTGACCTGACATAGCATGTTAATCAAATTGGGATGACCTGATAAATATTATGATACTAATTAGATCTATTATAAATCACATTTACATTAAAGGCCCACTGCACTACTTGTAGCTACTTGCGCCCTCTATATATAACAAACAATGCCTAATCGCGGTGACCATTGACCCCCCATGATCCTCTTTTTCTTACGTTAACTGAGAGCTGAGTTGATGAGATAACCACCTGTCCAGTGACCTTGTAGGGCTGTCTAATCCCTCCTGTAAACTATGGCAGATAAGCTTTAAATTGCTTGTTTGTTTGTTTTTAGTTTTGTTAAATTAACCGCATAATGGACCTCGACCTCCCTATAATCTCAAGATTAGTAAGACACTAAATAAAAACAGGTCAAATGATTAGTTAAATAACACCTCCTGAACTCATAAATGATGAATATTTTGTTCATGTTTCCTATATCATTTTTTGTAATTTGATGATGTTTTTCCTGTTATGATTTTTCTTACAATGTAATATGTTGTGTGCATATTGTTTTTAAAGTGAAAATAACAATTGAATTGAAATTGAATTAATTGTCTAAAACATCATCGTCGGCCCACCCCTAGCGGGATTCGATCCCAGAGCAATTTTGATAATTGATTGGCTTGGCTTTGGCTGGAAGATAAATTTCTCCGCCGGGTATATTGGCCCGCGTGCATATTATAACAGGATTATAATCGCTCCCCCCCCCCCCCCCCCGATCGTAACCTTTTTAGCACCGTACATCCCGGAGTACTACAAGGGAGCCGACCGGGCCTTTTGTATGGAAGCAGAAATTAGAAAACTGCATGGCGAAAGTTTTAAATAATAAGAGTCCGAACCTAGCTGAAAGACGATCAGGCATCTAGCCTGTAGTAAGATGGACATATATGTATCGGATCATGGTTGCTATGCGAATCTAAAAGTATGGTTCATTGATTGTGTCGCATAATATACGGACAACCTTCCAAAAATATCATAAATTTATGTTTTGCTCCTAAGTCCTTTCTCCCTTGGGGCAAATACTCAATATTTTAGATAATAATTAAACTAGTCCTCTGAAAAAGGATGGATGGAAAGAAACAGTCGCCTATTTTTTTACTTTTTTAAAGAGCATTTCTTAACAATTTGACCAATAATCTTCTTCTTTTTTTTGCAATCATATACGCTGTACATGATTTATATGCATACAAATTGTTTTTGTTTATTTCGGTCTTTCGTGATATCATTGCTTTTGACTGAACCCCTAGTCCCCACCCTTTTTTTTAAGGCATCAGAGTTTGCGATTAATTCAAATCAATCGCGGCACTGTACCTGCATGCATGATGGCAGAGATAGGAGTTAAAGGCGAAGTACACTCCAATTTGCTTTTGATAGATGCAGATAAACAAGAGAAACCGAGCCAGAAATTGAGTAAAATCGAAGTTATGATTCTATGGAACAAAGAAAATCACTACACAAAATGCCAATTTGGTTATTAGTTAGTGACGTCATTGCTTCACTATTATCAAATGCTCGTTATATATTTTTATCCCCCAAAACTTGATTTCCCATGTCTCAAGCCTGTCTGCCGTTACTTGTTTCTACTAATTGCGCCCTCGATAACAAACAATGCTTAAGCGGTGGCCGTTGGTCCCCCATGATCCCCTTTTTATTATGTTAATTGCAGCTGATTTGATGAGATAACCACTTGTCACTGACCACGGCAGGGAGTTCTTATCCCTCCCGGCCAAACAAGTGCAGACAGGCATTAATTTGCCTAGGTTATACGATTTGTATCATATTGCATGCATGACATTTCACACTTTTTTCTGAATATTGCATGTTCATTTTATTGACTTTTATATAAATAGTTTATCCAAATTCAATTCATGATTTAATTGAAAGAAATCACTCTATATTAGTGCATCCACACAAAAACATTACTGTCAATATATCTTGGATGCTAGTGTGAGGAAATAGATTCTTAAGGGGAAGGGAATTGTTATTAATATAAAGAAAATAATTAGTGGATAGTTAATGACTTACGTCTTGTGATTTAAGTTTTTCATGCATTAATTATTTTTTAATTTGTCAGATTTTTCTGCTCCAATTGAAAATAATAATTGTAGTGGACTTGCCCTTAACAAGCTGTGATCGATTTAAATCGGTTGCAACTCTTTAAAAACTATAGGTTCTCCAACATATCATATTGAAACCTTCATTTTTCCACTAACCCACTTTCAAATCCTCACGTCAATGATCAAAATAAACACCACACAATCAAACAACACTGAACATCTTTGCTTTACAACTTTCACCACCCATGAACAGACACTTCACTAGCATTTTGAATTTCATACAGTACCAGGCTTAAAGTGTATATACAGAAACAGTGTAATTAAGAAAATAATCGTAAGATTGCGATATGAATGATAAACAAGGTGACGCACATGTATAATCTAGATAAATCTTTAATATGGTACTGTTTACAAATGATTAAAATCAACATCATGTAATCTCCACCCTTCGTAACAATGAAAAAACATGATTAACTTATTGGAAAACTGTGCAACATAGCAACGTAATTAAATATACATGAAATATTTTTAATGTGAAGTGCTAAAGAATGTATCGTTTGTGTTTACATTTTGCAGTGAAGATGTTTTTCATTTTATTTAAGTAACTAGCACACAAATTATTTAAAATCTATGAACAGTACTTCTAATTTCTAATTTTTCATGTGTTCTTTGAGTGAAAAATATGGTAAAGCAGCATGATTTATTAACATGTACTATTTGAGAAGTTCTAGGCAACATGAATCTTGATTAACCCGGGATGAAACGTTTCATTGATAGAAGATAACCCTTGGGGAGAATGTGTACTTCTGTCATGATATACAGACATAGTATGAATACAAGATTGTTAGATTGAGGTCCCATCGTAAATGCTTTGACACACAGAAATAAAGTGATACTAAATCCATTAAAAGGGCGACATTTGTTTGTATCATTCATCATATTGAGACCATTTACACACTGTGAAGTTCACTTTGTAGTGCATAAAATTCACTTCCTTCAACTTTACGCTGCACAAAGTTCAACAATAGTGGTCATTGGTCAACTTGAGTTATTACCAATTAAATATGTCAAAATGTGTAATTTGTGTGTTAAATGGTTTTACACCAATTATGTTATACATTGCCACATCAATGGTAAAAAAATATACTTACATGTACATCAATGTACAAAAGTGCCTAAGATATTGAATATGATGGAAAGAACGATATGGAGTGCTCACTTAAAAGTATGAAGGCATTTTAAAAATCACCACAGTTAAAACTTCTCTTGGCCTGGTAGAGCTAGTGTATACTTTTGAAATACTTTCAGCTGGCATATTACATGTTAATTCAAAAGTCTCTCAATATTAATAGATGCACAATAAATTTCCACTTTAGCATCCATGTCAGGCTTGCAGTATATACACATGGTTCTAAAGCATGTACAAAGGTTATAAAATAGGTTTAGTTAAAAATTCATGCGATTCAGATTAATTCCATTATAATACCACTCACTTTCATGTATCCCTCGTGTATCATGTTATTCTCTGATGAGAATGCATCTTTATATCAATGGAAAGCTGAATGAACATAGAACACATATTTTCCCTTTCAATATTGCACAAAAGCAAATTAAACCTCATGTTCTGCACCCCTTTAAACTAGGGTCTCTTAGATTTGCACGTTGACATAGTGGACTGCAGTGTGTAAAGGACATCACACGTTGCAGTCCACTATGTCGACGTGCAAATCTTAAGTTCCTACTTAAATATGCATACTCCAGTCTACATGTCATTTTTAGTCAGCAACTTTCAGATAGGCGTACTCGATAGACGCAGAAAAAAAAAACATATACAGTGTACATGTATTTGATATCTATGGCTTATAAAGCTTTCCGCCGATATATAAATTATCTATTTTAATTTTCACTTCCGACAAGGTCTTTAACGTTATCCTTCAACTTGTGTTTCCTGTACATGAATCGATTCTGTTAAAATTCAAGTGCTACTTCAAATAAAATGCTTCCAAAACTTGCATTAACTATATTTTTTGTTATACAAATTCTACTAGAGTGCCAGAACTAAGACTATTGTTAATTAATTACCCATTTCATTCCCAATTGATTACTTTTTGTTCAGATATGATTTTGACACATAAGTGGTTTGAAGGACATGTCACATTTAAAAGTTAATACATAAAAGTGATGGTGGTCTTAAAAGCACCAACTCATCCACTGCATATATTAGATCGCTAAATCAATGCGGTGTCGCAAATTTGGCAATTTAATCACTGGATTGTGACATATTCACAGACATCTCTCATTTGTCTTGTTGCTCGTCTATTCCAGTTCCCCACACAAGATTGTATTTATGAAGCAAAATTCAATAGCTGCTGTAACATTAATGCCTCTTGCCTCTCCTTTGGGCCTTGATAATCTCATTCTAAACGCCATAAGGGCCTCAATAAATTCATCCCAATTTACAAACCATAGGGCGTAGACGCTACATGTTTGAGGCAATGCGAAGACTAGCTGTAAGCACAAGCAATGCATATGATAATGACGTGTATTTATTCTTAAGGGGAGCGAGGCACTGAATCTAAGGCAGTCCATTTCTGCTGTTGAGTAAGTTCATCATTAAGAGTCTCAAAGTCTTTTCCCTACCGATCTCTCACGTACTACGATTCTTCCACTAGTGTCTTCATGAAATCCGATTTCAGCTGTGAGAGCGAACTGATGGTCATGAAACGATTGCTGCGGTACTTTGTCTTGACAGCCTGCAAAAGAGGGAACAGAAAGTAGATTAAAAACCTATGGAAATGAGGTACAGTGCATTTGATGAATGGAGATTAAATTTCGAGGAATGGAAATTCAAGGTACATATTGTGGGGAAAACCCAAACATGTTGATTGGAATGAAATTCACATAAAAGGTCAGGGAGAAAAATTGTGATGAAGAAACAAAACCAAAAGCTTTTTTTTCTTGAAATATGACCCGTCTAGAATTCTCACTGCATGCATTCTGGTACAATTTTGTTTACACTCATACAACATAATGTACCTTTTCAACCCCTCTCCCCCAAGATCACAATTAAAAGATACATCTTCTCAAAAGAATGATAATACAGTTCGGTTGAATTCAATTTATGTTGAGGGATAGGTCAGAGACTTACATGGTACTTTTCTGACATAGCATCTTCCCTGGTAACGGCTGTTGCCATCTTTTGGATGATGGGTTTGATGTGATCTTCGCTGTACATGCTGTAATGTGTCATCTTGGCGCCCCAGTTGTCCTCGGAACCCAACAGAGCCATGGACAGGTAGATGGCTGCGGCAGCAATCTCTGAGGGATCGTATTGCACCATGCTGTATTCTGGAAGGGTAATCTCCATGAGGTACTTGGCTAGTGTATGCTTCTGAGGATCAACCTTTAATTTAGAACAGTCAAAAGAAATAAAAATCATTAATAATTGCATGAAAGAGGAATCTTTCAACGATTTGATATAATGTAATAATGTTCACTAATTGCTGTGTTTCTCATGGTTAGTGTGACTGTTCAAATTTATCTAAGGCAATCCAAACTTTTTAATAAAAGCAAAGAAATATGAAAAACACAAAATGGCAACAATTTTTTAAAAATAAATCGGGCCTATAATATGAGATTAAGGAATGTTTGGAATTGAGATTAGTAAATTTGTGATATCTCAAAACACTGATTTGGTCCCTGGATTGTGATGTAGTCGTGGGCAACTCCCCTGTTTGCCATGTACAAAATCATAACATCGTTTCCTTAAGTGCATTCTACTTTGGGAAACTACTCAAAATATATTATGGATATCACAACACATAATATGTCCTCTAAAAAGAAAAAACATTTTACGTTGTGTCCAATGTAGTAGAAATAATATTTTGACCATCTTCATTATTTGTAAATGCAGAACTACAAATAAAACAAGAATGGCTTCATAAATACATTTCTACAAAATTCATATAAGAGCTTGAATGTCATGCTACAAAGCTTTATCACAAAAACTTACCCCAGCTGCTTTTGAGTTGCGTCGTAGGAAGTGAAGGCATAGGGGCTTTCCTAGACAGTATTTGAGCCCCTTTAGCATGAAGACCTCCATCTGCCTGATCTGGGTCTTGGTGTAAGCCTGGTCTGTGATGTAAACAAAGTCGTTGATTTCAGGAGGGTACATCTCTTCATACTTGCTGGCAATGAACATTGCTGTTACACCCACAAGCTGCAGCTTTCCTTTGGAGACCGCGTGATCCTGGTAAAGACAGAGCAAGGGGGTATTGTTATAAAACTGACATGTATGTAAATAACTTTTTTTGGTGTAGTCATGTATTCCTAACTTTTGCTTCCAAAGACTCAAAATTCAAAGACATTGTAGCCAAGATAATCTACATGGATCATTCCTCTTTAAGACTGACACAATAAAATGTATGCGCAAAACTGTTAGCCTGAGACAAATTAAAATAAAAGTAAAACTATTTTAGCTTGCTTTTTTATTTTACATGTACAATGTAGATGGTCTCAAATGGACATCCTAGAGCTGCATTTAGCAGTCTTCCGTATTTTTACTATTACGAGTTATAGCGTAGCACTTAAACTACATAAAAGTGTGTGGGACCCCGCTGTAGTGTTCAGTTCAAATTCTTACGTCAAAATTTAACTTGGTACAGATTGAAAGATTTATCGACTTACAACCAGGAATCTGTCAATGAGCTGAACTGTGAGGAAGAGGGTCTCCTGGAGGAGATGAAACCTAAGATGGACTTGCACTAGCCAGTCGACCAGGATGTGACGCATGCGACCCGTGACCTGACCTTCTCTGTCCAGGTAACCGGCAGGTACCTTCATCTGGTTCTCCAAGGTCCTCATGTACAGGTAGATCTCCTTGGCATACTCGCTGCAAAGCTGAGGGTTATCTCCGTCGTCTTTGTCGATGTCTTCTACTTGTAGCTGCATATAGTAAACATAAACACAAATTGATAGAAAGAAAAACCATAACATGTCAAGGGAATTATATCTATTTTATGCAAGTAATAAAAATACAGAGGTCCTGCTAAAGTTTTGATCTTTTACAGATATAATTGAGGTTCTGGTCATGCGATTGCATTGTGAAAGAGGTGTGGAATGGATCAGAAAAAGACGATCATGTAGCATGTACATGTAAGCACGCCAATTGGTGTGTACTGCAAGGTTCTGGAGTCATCGAAATCATAATAAATTTGGCCCCGTCTTGGTAAAGTAACAAGCACTGTACACAGAAAGATGTATATGGGATTACACAAATGGTGTCAGGCCTTGACCTTGATTTCCTTATCTTTCTATGTTTATTACTCAACCAGTATACATTTTCTAACAAAATTGTTGGCAAATAACATTTATTTGTGATCTTGAACATTTAGTGTAGTTTTTGTTTGGAGCATTCATTTTCTTTTACCAAAACTCAAGTTTATCTTTAACCTAATCAATGGGGAAAAGGGGGGTGGGGATGTAAACTTGTAAAATTACTGAATCATGACATTTCTTGGTTTGTAATTCATAAGTAATAAACTCACATCAATCAGTCGCTGAGAAAATGCTTCAATAGCCGATTCGATGGGGTCTACCTCCATTTGATCCACCACTTCTGGCAAGGGTGACCTGCAGATGTCTGTTTTGACATTGTCCACTGGGAGACTCACTACGGATTGGAGTGATGAAGTAGCCTTGGATTTGGCCAGCGTCTTTGTCCTGAGCTCTTTCTTTACAACCTGTGAACGCAAGTTAAAATGCTTTTCATTATAGAAGTTTCATGCGGGGAGGACTTGCTTACATCTACTGCTATACATAGTTATTCCAACATGTAAACATTTCAAAAAACGGGCTATGTCGGGCTTTCAATCATGTGGTATGAAAGTTTATTTTTTTTGTTAAAGTGGCACGTTCCCGCCAGTGTAGTTATCGCTGCTCTAGTCATCGCCATCTTGGTTCCGAAGATCGACTTCTAATTTGCATACAGCTGTCAATCAAAGTACGCGCGGCCTGGCCTGCCTTCGCCAAGCCAGCTGATCGCTGACGATCGCGACGTCACGAAAGTGGGCGGAAACAGCAGCCGAATCTTAGAGCCGAACTGCGATTGGCATTACTTCGGCACATGTATGCGATAATCGGTATTGTCCGGGCATTCGGAACATGCCATCTGCGTAAGAGCCGTATTCTGTTGGTGTCAATAGGCAGCTAGCACCGTCCGCCAGCGGGTACGTATTTTGAACGCCCTCTGGAATACGGGGAACATGCCTCTTTAAAGTACATTTATGAGAATGTTTTAAGACAACTAATTTTGTGTTCGATCTTGCTGGAAATTTGATAAATGGGTAATTAAAAAAAAAAAAAATTCTGTACAGGTGCTTGGAAATAATTTGAGCTTAGTTTCTTGCTCATATTCTATGAAAATTAGTCATGCAACATACATTCTTCCACAGGAGAAAATCAAGATTTATTAAAATATAGAGACGTCATATTGCAAGAATTTTAAGCAAATGCAAATACATTAGTACTATAATACATACATGATTTATTCTTCTTTACCGTTGAGGGAAACGCGTCATTTATTTTATCTAACATAATTTAAAATTAAAGTAAAACAAATAAATGAGACATTTACCTTTTTACCACCAGCATGTGTTGTGCGCACCATGTTACTGATGTTGCCCAGGGCAGCTCTCTGAGCAGGCTTCTGTACAGCCATGCTCTTCCCACCAAGCCTGGCACCGACATTCTCGTTTTCAAAACTCTGCAGCTTCTTAAAACCAAGAGTGGTCATCTGTAAACATAAGAAATGGATGAGCAAACATGAATGTTAAAAACAATGTAAAAGAAATGAGTATACACAAGGATACATTGTAGGTGATGCACTAAATCCAGTATTCACTACATCATCATGTGTATTTTACAGCCTTAAAATGCAGTATATTTTGCACACAAAAATAAAATGAAACTTTTAAGATTAAATGCAAAAGTTCAATGATATTAGACTGAGAGGGACTTGTAGTTGTACAGCAGCAGGGGAAGGAAAAAATCTTGGAAAGGGTCAGAAATTATTTTAGCTCTCAAAACAGACAAAAGCTTCAAATGATTTAATTGGCAAACTAAAAAATGAGCTCTAATTTGTCTAAAATTAAGCGATCTTTATTTGAAGAACATGTAAGATTACTATTGAATAATATCCAGTTTTTAAATGTTCCATGTACTCACATTTTGAACACTCTTTGTTTACAACTGCTGACTCCAGGGAGCTCCCTGGAGTTAGACCCTATGAAGATGTCTGTTCAACTTCTAGTATATAATTTCTTATAAAATGGCTCTAGTATTTTAAGCATCGTGATTGGTCAATACGCGTCACATGACATTGAACAAAATTTGATGCAAGCACGATTTTGCAGAAATGAGTGCAGAAAAAGCGCAGTAAAAAGTTATATTGCACGGTGCGTACGCGTGACCATGGAGATCCAGTGCGCGCGCGTAAGTGTAGTACGCGCTCCCTCGAGTTGCATTGCAATTATTGTAGGCTACGCGTAGCTAATATTGTACGCTCCACCATGATCCCCAGCGCAACGTACGCGTAGCTTAGCTCTAGCTAGCTAGCTAGAGCGGCCAGCGGGGTATTATTAAAAAGCAAATTTTTATTTTACTTTTGCCTTGGATTTAGGCCTGTTTTGACTTTTGGATTTTATAATGAAGCCAGGAATTTCAGCTGTCTGATGTAGACTCTTCTCTAGACACCCTATGCATTTTATTTTTAATAAAACAATGAATCCCGTGGACTTTTTGGTAAGCCTGCAAGGTCTTAGACCCTCATTTTATTTCTAGAACCAACATAACTCTAAGTTAGATCTAGATCGAACTCTCGTATTATATACCAGTACTTAAGATCTAAATTTTGTTTGTTGCTGTTTGTGTCGCTATTTTATAAAACAAATAACGCACTTGACCCTGTTGTGCGAAACGTAAATGCAGTGTTCGCTCGGTTTCTTCAGATGGTTCGCACTGTCAACTCGCCGCAAGCGGCTCGTTGCACAGAGCGGCACCAATCTAAAGAAACCTCGCGCGTACTGCATTCACCGCTATTGCACTCTGGGACGTGCGTTATTTGTATATTAATACACCCATGGCCCAGCACAGACCTCCATTTTGCTGATGGTCTTGCAATGTGCGAGTCAAAGCCAAACTATGGAACCTTTGGTTTTTTGCAATGTCAAAATAACTGCAGACTCTTCTTGTTAAAAAATGTTGTTCTTGCGTGAAATTGTTTTAGAAGTCTAGTTTTAGTTCTAGACTCTATGCAAAAAAAAAATTAAATAATGAACTCTGAAGTTCAGTGAAGGCAAGAGCTCAATATTTCTTTAAAATTTACTCCCGACTTTGTCTGGACACTCGATGCACAACCCACCCACCTTGTCCTTATGGTAAACCCTGTCCGATCCCCTCCAAATAATTATCCGATCAAGCTTTGTATTGATCTAAACTCACAATTTATTAATTATGTTTCCAGACCCTGGTACTGTAGGCCTACTAGCATTTAGTACTGTAGGCCTACTGCAAGACAAAAAGTACCAACCAGAAAAAAGCAAAGCCAAAATTAAAGAGGCAAAAGCCAAAACTCTTAATCGACTGCTCCATTTCAATCACACTTGAGTTGTGTGAAGTGTTCATGACACAAATACCACCAGACATAGACACATAAGACCCACCCAATCTTTTTCATTCGACCAGGTGCTAGAACTACAATTGCTTTTTCTTGCTGATAATTTGAAAGAAAGTTTCATAGGATTCTGTGATAAAAATTAAACAAAGTAAAAAAAAGTCAGTCGGTCGAACACACACCGACTTGGTCACACTCGCACTGTCGCTCAACTCAAACAACATCATGCATGCATAAATTGCACACAGCAAGCACCGCCACCATGCCCATGGCCATGGCCATAACTTTTCATGTAGACCTACCAAACAACGCCATATTGAGAATTTCAATAAAATTGTACACTTACATTTGGGTTTCTTGTGGCATGAGCCATGATTTAGCACTGCAAAGTATGGAAATTCTTCGATTATCGATGTCTAGGATGAGAACTGTCCGAGTTGTTTTCAGCTTTCAGAATGAGTCGGATTCAAATGTGTAGGCAGCTAACGCAATATATAGTGCAGTGTGTGCAAATGAATGAACGCATATGGATAATGCACGTAGGATTTTTGTTATTGTCGCGGACCGGTGCTTGAATATACGCGGGGGCAACCTGATTGGTCCGTTGATCGCTACTTCACGGCGCTGATTGGTCAATGGTGATGTAAAAGATGCATCGCTAGGCGATCAATAGAGATCTTTCCACTTGCCTTGATGGGTCGGAGTGGTACCATTCAATGGTGGTATGCGCGATGGAGGTATCCACTCGCCAAACACCTGCTGGTGCTATACATGTAGCTAGGACAGTAAATTAGTCACATAGTTGATCCATACAAATGAGAGAGAGAGAGAAAAGAAATTAAAGTACTTTTTCAGCAGTGCCAAATCGACCGGTGTAATAACATATTTAAATTGTATGCATACTTTTAAAACAAAGGTTGTGATTGCATGGCAAGTACGTATTCAGACTGGATTACAAGGGTTAATTCGAGGATATTAACCCCGGACAATCACCCCACCCCCTCCCCCGGCTGATTTCCAGCGGGACAAAGCACCCAAAGGACAATGACCCCCCCCCCCCCCCGAAAAATCCCCCTCGAAATTGGACAATTACCCCCCCCCCCCCGATGGCAAATAAGTACCACCAGAGACAACCATTCACCCCCCCCCCCCTCCCCAGCTCAACTTTAAACCAAAGACAACCATCCCGAGGACCATTACCCTCACGGAAAGTTACCCCCTCTTGGGAAGCCCAGTAAATTGATTTTCAATAAAAGTAGAAAAAAATAGAAAACCAGGTTTGATAGTGAAATTGTGAGAGAAATCTGATTAGAAATAGGAAAGTTATGAATTGAAGTTTTCATCAGTGAGACGTATATCGTGCGAGATTTCCTCCCCCTTTCTTTTTTTGCATCTGATAAGTGCCCCTTTTCCTTCGACAAGTTCCCATTTTCCTTTACAAAACAGTGTCCGACGATTTCCCATTCTCATAAAGTGCCCCTGTTAATTTCTAGTAACTGCTCCTTTTCAGGTACGAGAAGTGCCCCTTTTCACTTTTGATAAGCCTTCACCTTAGATAATTGCCCTATTCAAATAGGAGAGACGCCCCCATTTAATTTGACACGTTTTCCTTTTCCTTTGTAAGAAATGCCCCTTTCCCGTTTAATAACTACCTCTGTTTACCTCGGATAAACGCACCTTTTATTTTCACATGTGCCCCTTTCCCTTTAAGCGCCCCTTTTCCTTATGATAGCTTTTTTTTTTTTTAGAGCGCCCCTTTCCCTTCTCATATAATGCCACTTTTCACCTATGAAAAGTGTTACTTATCATTCTCATAAGTGCCCCTTTTCATCTCTGGTAAATGACCCTTTTCATGTTCGAGAAGTTACTCCTTTTCAATTCAGAATAGTGCCCCCTTCACTTCCGATAATTGCCCCTATACAAATCTGAGAGATGCTCGTTTTATTTGGACAAGTGCCCCTTCCCCTCCCAGTATGTGCTCTTCTTATCTTTCATGGGTGTTTCTTTTCACCTCTTATGAATGGCCCTTTTATTTTAACACGTGCCCACCCCCCCCCCCCCCCGGCCCTCCCTAATTATTTATTTTTTTATGCAAAACATCACAGACAACAATATTTATAATTTCAATAAACTTCCTAAATTCAGAAGCCAACAGGCTGAAAGACGATATGGAAAATTCCTATCATTTACGCTTTCAAAGAATAATTTATTATCAATCAATAAACCAATCAAACATATTTTTTCAATGATTAGGTACATGTATTGTATTGTATTGTATTGTATTTATTAAACTTCATTGATGTAAATCAATATTCTGTTTATAAACATATAAATCACTTTACAATGTAATGAAACAAATCAATAATTTGTTTGGAAACATATATGTCATATAAGTCAATTTACAATGTAATGTAACAAATCAATATTCTGTAAACATATTTACCGTAAATTAATTTACAATGCAGTGTTTATAGCAAAACAGAAGGAAAATTATATCCGGCAGAAACACTCTTTTTTCTTTTAGTAATAACATGACATAGTGCATTATAGTAATATAATGTACCATAATACATCCGAAGATTTAGATAAATAAAACATAATACAGCACTTTTCTAAATAAATTATAACTCATGCCATACAAAATAGGTAAATGAGGTACATGGAATGCCTAAAATAAATGACGTAATAGTACTTTTACATAACTGCGTCCTACTGCAGAATTAAACCAAAAGCATAAGATTGTACATTTCTACTTTGTTATAACATAGCATCTAAAAATTACCCCTCATTGCATTTATGTTTTTTCTGAACGAGGAAAAAATATATATTACAACTTTATTGTCTAATCTCATTATAAATATGAATTTTTCTTGACTTTCCAAATTACTAAAATTTTCTTCCAGATTACTAATTTTTTCTATAAAATCTACTCGTAAATCTTTATACATGCAATCATAGTGGTGAAGTAAAAAAACAAACATCACTATATTGCCTGCAAAAACACACACACAATTATTTATAATTTTTTTTAAATTTAATTCAGGACCTTTGACAATATGACACTGATATACAAAAATTATTAAGGTGGAGGTATAGCTTTCAGCAAAATTACGCGTGCGAGGGGAAGGAGACATATTTTTCATAATAAGGTCTCCAGCTGTTCATTTACGTAAGCGATTTTGTTTTGTTCTAATATTTGATTTGATTCGATTTGATTTATTTATTTTTGTTTGATTCCCTTTTTCTTTTGCAGTTTTACAAATATATTAATTGTTTGACATAACGTACTTCTTATTTTACTTCATTCAAAATTCAGTCCAATGTAAGAATAGATTGTTTACTAAAATGCGTTACTTACAAGCAAAATATATAAGTGCTACCTTGTTTTACATCCTAAACACTAGTATTAATTAAAGTCTACGTCCACTTCAAATATAACTGACTTTCGATAGAAGCAGAAAAATCAGACAAACCAATCAAAAAAAGTTTGAGCGAAATCGGATAACTAGTATAAAAAAAAGTTGGGAAATTTTAATGACATGAAAAACTTTGAAAATCACTAGAAAAAATTGGCAACTCACTCATGAGTCTGTGACGTCATTGCCTCACCATCATTGTTTCCTTTATATTGATAATATAAATTTCCAGTTTTCCCCCTAAAAATCTGATTTCCTCACACCAGTAATAAAGTTATATTGATAGTTATATGTGTATATTGTTTGTGTGGATGCACTAATATAGAGTGATTACTTCAGTTAAATCATGAAAGATGTGAATTTTAATTGACTATTTGTATTTTTTTTTAAAGTAATGATTATGATTATACAATATTCAGAAAAAAGTGTCAATTCTTTATAGTTCACAAAAAGATTTTGTGAAATGTCATGCACGCAATATGATACAAATCATATAACCTGGGCAAAGGCATGGGAGAATCAAGTTTGGGGGGATAAAAAGGAAAATTAATGGGATAAAAATATAAAGCAATTACATAGAGAGGCACTGACTTCACGAAATGATAACCAAATTGGCAATTTGTGCAGTGATTTTCTAAGTTCTATAGTTTTTCATACTTTAAACAAGATTCATAACTTCCATATTAGTTATCCGCTTTTACTGAAGGTTTTTTTAGATCAGGTTTTTTTCTTGTTTTTCTGCATCTATTAAAAGCAAATTATTTTTGGAGTGGACTAAGCCTTTAACATACCAACAAACGTAAAATTACGTACTTGTTGTAAATACAGTGTTGACACTGAAGTATAGATTACGAAATTATTTGATACAAAAAATATAAACTCTTCAGTACTTAGGGCAGGTAATGTCATACTAGGCCTATTATAGTTTGGCCTATTATAGTTTGATGGGGGAGAACACCACTTGTAGGACTACTCGGAAAAATTGTCATAAATATTCACATTAAAGTTCATTTAAGATTTATGTTATAACATTTCAATGTCACTACAAACTGATATAATAAATTTAATAGTATTACGGATAGGGCCTACTGCTCTCTCCCGAAAAGTATTTGCATAATGTAACAACATTTATATCTAAATAATTCAATACGAATTATTTTATTCACCTGTCAAGAATAATTGTATTTCAATATAGTCAGGATGCGAATGACAACATTATGTGTTGTTAGGTATATAGGGCAAGCGATAAAATGTTTTTCATGCCTAGCAACTAATGTATTCTATTTGCATTCTTAGTATTGATATTATATACATATATTCGTAGCAGAGAATGAAATGATTTTTGTAATTAGGTACTTTACAAAGACTCATGTATTAAATTTGATTACATTACGAAAATGGCAAAATGCCTTGGCTTGATTTTTTCGAAAGTAGCTCCGATCGTGATATTGTGGTTCTAGAATCCAGAAACTGCCTAGGTCCTCCCCGTAGACCGTGACTTAAAACAATCTGAGACAAAAAATCCTACACTATGTGCAGACGTCGCGGGTATGAAAAAATACCTGTCGCCTTTTGAGAGTACCCTCCCTTGAAGTCATATTCTACGATACTCTTTGTCGTGATGTCTGAGAAGTAAAGGATACCCCGGAAGAGGAACACATCCGAAGGTTCGTATGAGCCGGGGTTGATAGTTATGACGTCACTTCCGTCTAACGCCATGTGTTTTATTACCTTTTGGCCTATGTCTGAGATGTAAATGCGTCCTCCTACATTATTGGGGAAGAATAAACGTTATCATGTATAATTAACCACTTCTAGGCGCATATCTTGCCCGTCGCAAATCAGACGTCATTCATTGTACAGACGTAAGATTGCGTCAACGACTGACATGGTCTTTGACGCAACATGTGAGTCTAGTATCATATACAAAGTGCATTTAAAATGAACAGTGAAAACACTTGAGTTGAATCTTTGGACTAAATTGCATTGATATGCCCGATTAGTGCAAATTACGACACAACCAAAATGACGCTTCGTGTACAACGGGTGTAACTTATCGTAATAAATATAGCATCGGTTATTTTGATTATGTACTTCATTACATACAAAAATGATCATGAATGATTGCACGAACGAACGTGGGAATATTTTGTTGGTATACCACAAGTCTACAAATTGACATCACTGTCGTTGGAATCCTTTAAAATGACAGGGTAAGCTGATTCTATAAAACTACCAACAACAAAAAACGAAAGTAAAACTTGGAGATTGCTCTTTCAGTTATGCCGCTCCAAAGCTTTGAAATAATATTACTCCCAGTCTCCCACTAGACGTAAGAAAACCCCTATCTGTTGTCGGCTTCAAAGTTTTGTTGCAGGTTTTAAATGTTTTTGAATAGTCTTTTGTTGTAAGTTAAAAGCAGTGGCGGATCCAGGTTTGGGAGGGGGCGAATCTCGATAGCGTCCGGGACAAGGGTGTCGATTTGTATCCGTGGTTGGGGGATGATAGGTGCCAAAATATTTTCGGCAATGGATCAAAGCAACCAAGAGGTAGAAGCGTGTGGCAGGTTGCACCCCATCCCCAAGCCGTAGCAATCTCCCTAGGGGGTTGGGTGCAGGGAGGGAGGAGTTTCCCCCCTCCCCCGAGAAGCGCGGAAGTTTGACGTTTCATTAAATTATTAGAGAAAGAAGACGATTCGTTGGAACGTTCTCGACTCTTAATCCTTGTTTGAATCAAGTGCCCCTTCCTCCGCGCGTAGTGCGGAAGCTCTGACATTTCATTAGATTATTAAAGAAAGAAGATGATTCGATGTACCATTCTCGACTCTAATCCTTAATGTTTGAACTAAGTTCCCCTTCCTCCGCGCGTAGCGCGGAAGCTCTGACGTTTCATTAGATTATTAAAGGAAGAAGACGATTCGATGTACCATTCTCTTGTCTGAATTCAGTTCCCCCCCTCCCGCGCAAAGCGCGGAAGCTTTGACGTTTCATTAAATTATTAGAGAAAGAAGACGATTCGTTGGAACGCGTCCTTGTCTTAATTCAGTTCCCCCCTACCGTGCGAAGCGCGGAAGCTTTGACGGTTCAATAAATTATTACTCTTAATCCTTGTCTATATTCATTTTCACCCATCCCGCGCGAAGCGCGGAAGCTTTCACGTTTCATTAAATTATTAGAGAAGGAAGACGATTCGTTATATCGTGTCCTTGTTTGAATCCAGTTTCCCCCCATATACGCTTGTCTCATTTATTTCGTATATATGTATATATTATGCAAATGAGATAGCAAAATGTGTATATTGATGGTCATCTTGCGAGTACTAACCCTTAAAGGGAAAGTCCACCCTGAAATTAAGTTAGTTTTAATAGGAGTAGAAAAATGGGAAAAACAAGTCAGTGAAAGTTTGAGCAAATTCCGATTGAAAATAAGGAAGTTAGGATTTTTTAAGTTGTGATCAATCAAACACAAATTGGCAACTCTATGACGTATCATGCGAGCTCAACTTCCATTTGCTCAGTACTACAAAAATCTAAAATTTTCATTTTCCCTCAAGAAAAATTTCAACCATACATGCACCCTAAAAATAATAATTGCAAATATGTTTCTATACTCCCCCTGCAAGGAACAAATATATATTCCGTCATCAATAACGAAGAAAACATGATTTTATGGAATATTATGCACAAAGCAAATGAAGGAGAGCTCGTATAATAAGTCACAGAGTTGCCAATTTGTATTTGATTGATCACAACTTCAATAATTCATAACTTTCTTATTTTCATTCAGAATTTGCTCAAACTTTCACTCACCTGATTTTCTTATTATTCTGCCTCTATCGAAACAAACTTATTTTGGGGGTGGACTTTCCCTTTAACTACTCTCATCGGGCTGTGATCATTAATTTTTCTTTTTTTCTTTTTTTTTATGGTGAATTATTGGGGGGGGGGGGGATGATTGTACAGGCCATCCCCCCACCTGAAATATTGGGGGGGATATCCCATCCCCCCTGGGATCGACACCCATGGTCCGGGACTTCGCCTCCTTGAACCCTGGCAAGGCTCTGCCCCCCAAAACCCACAAGTGGCCCTAATGTGAGCCCTTCAGGTGGGTCCCTGGACCCCATCCGTAAAGATAGATGTAGGACCCAAGACAAGCCTTTGATGTTTAACATTGTCCTTAGGAGTTTCCATCGCTCAAGACGAATCTTGAAGGTTTTGAATTGCTAAAACGAGAGAGCGTCCGGGGATGCCCCTGGATCCTACCCAAAAGGGCCCAAACTTACGCGCTAGCAGTTTGCTTTGCTCACATTACACGTTTTCGTCGCCCCCCCCCCTCCCTCTTCGAAAATACTGGATTGGTGCTGTTAAAAGGATTTATTTCATTTAATTTTGCTTTGCATCACAGCGCCGTAGATTATATATTAGCTGTGCTATTCATATTGATCTAATTATTATTAAATTTACATGGAAATAAAATTTGGAGGAAAATATCAGGGGGAAATGGAGACAACGGACTCATGTTACTTAAAGTACTATCTAAAAATATATATTATAGAGTTTTGTCCTTACCAATGGCATCCACACTGAGGCCAGTTATATCAGAAAGTGCTGAGCTATAAAATAACTCCTGGCGACTGGTCCCGTTAAAATGACATCGCTCCAACCTGTACTGGTGTGTGAAATACAGGTACCTGGATTATAGGTGGAAAATGTGATTTAAGATTATTTAATAATTCATGCCCGTTACTCAAAAAAGAATCTCTAGAAACTCCTTGTACCTTCATGCATACCGCATAGAAATTCATTATACCTTTTTGCATAATCTAAGAAACCGTATAATAAACATAATATTACTAGATTTCGATAGAAGATACAAATGCATATACTACCACAGATGTATAACAGATTGTATGCGTGAGGGGCGTGAGCAGTAGAGGATATACACAAATATAATAATAGTCATTAGAAATAGAACGAGAACATTTAAGAATTAGAAGATAAAGTAATAGCAGAAAAATACTTTTTGTGGAAAGAAGTTTGAGAGGATGATCAAGCCAATAAAGAGTTGCACGGCTGGTTAATACCATAGCATTAAAGAGAAGTCCAAGATTCTTTGTCTTACCCGAGAGTTGGACTTGCTTCCACCGCTCTAGGTTCTGTCGGGTTAGTTACAACTTCTTTCATTCCTGTACCATCTATCCCAATCGAGACAATCTTTCCCGAATCTTTGAAGGCGCAGTAGACTGTCCTTGAAACTTCATCTATAGATATTCCTGTTGGTCCTGTATTCGATAAAAACAAATTATTTACACAAAATATAAATTCAATTGACGTCCATTACCTTTGAAGAGTCCAATGTTCTGGACATGATTGGGGGCCCAAAGACAGACTGCAACAAACAGGGTAGGAGCTGGAGCAGATGAATGAGGGGGTGGGGGGAGTGTCCCTTGCCGAGGGATGGGGGTGATTAAACTGTACACGTAAGTAGATGTTTGATTTACCCTTCTTAATATTATTAAGGACATACTATAGACCTTCACTAAGGACAGTGATTTCGTTTTAAATACATATATCGAAATAAACATAATCATTACCTCCAAACTCGTGTCAACAGTGTGGAATATTTTGCCGACCAGAGTCCCATACAACGGTCGGGTACTAGTTCTTTGGCAGGCAATACGGACTGTGATCATAATAAGGACTCAACATTGAAGACGGTCCAGGAGATCACTGGGGTATATAAGGAGCCCGGTCAAAACTTGGTCCGACACATCGTCCGTACACAAACAAAGGCGATTCCCCTATGTGCCCTAGCTCCCATTTTAAGGACCCCACCCCCTAACAAAAAAAAGGGCGGGGAAATAAATGGTTGATCCTGAAGATATGAAAGGGGTTGTCTGAATACTTTGAGGTCAGAGGGCGCCATGTATGTGACAATTTGCTTGATTCCTTGATTTTTTTCCAGACATTTTTCAGACATTTGTCCCCCCCCCCCCCTCCCCTTCGTAAGAATCCCGGATCGGCCACTTTTTGTCTTGCCTCATTTAACAGAATAGAAATACAACTATATATATATTAGCTTCTCACCGTCGTAATTTAAGTTTACTTGTTGCTTATCCGTCCCATCTTCTCTCGCTTTCCATACTTTCTTCCCATCGAAATCGGTCCAATAAAGCATCTTATCCACGCTATCGTATGTCACATCCCAAATGATGCTAGATATTGCAATGGTAAAAGAATACGTGACAGGGTTCGCCGTCCATATACGTGAACTTCCTTGATCAGCAACGAATATTTTGGCATCTGAATACAGACAAAATAAAGTATGAGAAAGTAAAAATACGACAGTGCGCTTTTCTTTTTAATCCCTTACTCCTTTTCTTTAATATCCAATAATTTGCTCGTTACTCTTTTATATATTAGCTGTGATAAATCAAGAGAGAAAACGAGAGTAAAACATTAAAAAAACTCAAAGAGAAACACGAAATGATGTGTAAAGGTAGAGAGAGAGAGAGAGAGAGAGAGAGAGAGAGGAAGGGTGGGGATAGAGAGGGAGGGGTCTATAAGAACGACTATGAGTTTAATGTTTATTAATGAATATATCTCTATAAACCTATGACACTCTCTGTTTTTCAAATGACAACTTGGCACAACGGTGCTTGATTTTCCGTTTCAATATACCAGCTTTAAATCTATCATCATACATATATTCCTTCTCAGCAGTATGCCGTTTTAGCCGTGCACATACATTTTTCGCATACTTTTACAAAATCTTCTTTTGATAATTCCAAAGCTACATGGAGTTTGTCCGACATAGTGCAGGTATTCATTGTATTAAACATGCGATGTGACCTTTGGGATATGGTAGCTTGTTTGAAAATGTATTCATATTCACGGGTGTTTCCTCCAAGAAGCCCTGCAGACGCATTATTCATTTTAACTATTCCGTATGATTGCATTGCATGTGTGTGGGATGGTATCCGCATTGCATACATCAGTAGTTGTTGCTACGTCGAGAAAGCCTCCGACCAGCTGGATTCGTAACTAGGTCCCCATGGAAAGAAATATCCATCAATAAATTCAATTTTGATAGTAAACAGGCCTTCTGCATTCATTCGTTATGGGCAATATTATAATAGGCCAGTTTCGTAATGTAACCAAATTTAATGCATACGTCTTTGTGAAGTGCCTCAATACAAATTATTTCATTCACCTGATAAGAATAATAGCATTTCAATAGTCATAATGCAACTGCATATATTAAGTGTTGCTAGTTAGGTCAAGCCACAACGTTTGTCCAACCTGGCAACAACTAATGTATGCAGTTCGGATTCTGTCTATTAAAATACTATTATTCTTATCAGGTGACTGAAATAATTTGTATTGAGGCACTTCACAAAGACTCATGCATTAAATTTGGTTACATTACGAAACTGGCCTATTTCCAGAACGTAGATCGTTTAGATAAAAGTTGCTATGTCGGGCAAATCACGCCACTGGAAACAAGTTATGGGTCGTTACAGGTTACCGTTCTTATGCAAGGACTATTGTATTTGCATAAGAACGGTAACCTCTGAGTAAACATTTCACCAGTGTATTCAAATGCCATGCATACTTCTCAAACATCGTGGAATTTTCGCACCATCATAACGAATATGTGCTAGGTCATACACCCCCTCTTATTGAGATAGATACTACATCATGAATTCATGTAGTTATGTCTCATTAAATGATTATGTAATTTTTTACATGTATTTTCCAAATATAATATTCATTTTGACAAGTTTATGATCAACATCACAGCTAGGAATACATTTGAGGCATGGTAGCTAAAACAGACAGAAACTGCAACTAACAAAACAAATAAATGTGTACACCGCTATTTCTGTGTGTCTCTCGCTATACTTAGCTCCCAAGCCCCCCCCCCCCCATCTCTCTCTCTCTCTCTCTCTCTCTCTCTTTCTCTTCTCTTTAACTCTTGTCATTTTTATTCCGTCTCCTTGAATCTCTTTATGTTCCTCCGTCTATGTTCCTTTATCCTAGGGCTTAAAACTTACTGAAATATCGGATTGAAATTAATCTCTTTTTTTTTTCTTTTAGGTTATGTCAGTGAGAAATATGTATGTTACCCGTTACACATTATTCGTCATTTCAATTGACAATTTTCGTGATATAATCATACTTATACATGTACTTACGTACCTCGATACGAATTATTTCATTCACCTGTTACGAATAATTATTGTAAGTTAGTAGTCAAAGTGCAAATGGCATATATTATGTATTGTTAGGCAGATCAAGCCTTTATGTTTGCCCTAATGACTATTGAAAATTTGAGATACATGTATTTTTTAACAGGTGAACGAAATAAATCGTATCGAGGCGCTTCACAAAGGCATATGCATAAATTTGGTTACATTGTGAAAATGGCCAATTGTGTTATTGCCTACGCTAATGAGCCTGTTAAGCCAATCAACCAATGTAATACGGCAGTAGGCCAATTCACACACGCAACTTTTAATAGGGAGATTGGATCGCGATTCAAATCTCAACTTTTTTGTGCCACTGTTCATTCTCAGAAGAAAAAAATCTCACTTCTCGACAAGCGCTGTTATCTCGCTTTTGTTCACACAAACGCTCGGCTAAATAATTGCGATTATTGTCTGAGATGTTGTTGAAGATGTTGTCTGAGGTGTACTTGTCGGAGATGTTGTTAAAGATGTTGTCACAGAAAAAGAAAAATGGCAAAAATAGTGAGATTCTAATAGCGATCGTTTTTCTTTTGTGTAATCTTATATTCAGTTAATGTATTCCCATGTTTTTGTTTAATTTATTTTGTAGTTGATTTTTATTATTATCTAAACCATGCATATATTGTGTTAAATGTTTAATAATCCGATATTGTACAGTTCTAATTGTAATTTATGTAATTTTTTAATGGGCTGTTTTTATAATCAGGGCTCTGTGGAAGACCAGGTTTTTATTTTTGTATACTGAACAGATTACCCTGAACAAAGAAGTGAAATAAATAAATAAATAAATAAATAAATCAAGATCTCACTTTTTATTAAGTGAGATTTTTAGATTCACAAACAGAAAATTGTTGACCGTCATAATTTATGCATCGGGCTGTAGAATCACTTACCTAGGAGATGTTTTGTCGTCAGCTCTAAAGTCTCGGTGGTTGTTGAAGATGTTGTCTGAGAAGTTGTTGTCGGAGATGTTGTTGTCGGAGAAGTCGTTGTCGGAGAAGTTGTTGTCGGAGAGGTCGTTGTCGGAGAAGTTGTTGTCGAAGATGTCGTTGTCGAAGATGTTGTTGTCGGAGAAGTCGTTGTCGAAGATGTTGTTGAAGATGTTATCTGAGGAGCTGTTGTCGGAGATGTTGTTGTCGGAGAAGTCGTTGTCGGAGAAGTCGTTGTTGAAGATGTTGTTGTCGGAGAAGTTGTTGTCGTAGAAGTCGTTGTCGAAGATGTTGTTGTCGGAGAAGTCGTTGTCGAAGATGTTGTTGAAGATGTTGTCTGAGGAGCTGTTGTCGGAGATGTTGTTGTCGGAGAAGTCGTTGTCAGAGAAGTCGTTGTCGAAGATGTTGTTGAAGATGTTGTTGTCTGAGCTGTTGTCGGAGATGTTGTTGTCGGAGAAGTCGTTGTCGAAGATGTTGTTAAAGATGTTGTCAGAGGTGCTGTTGAAGGTGACGTCTGAGGTGTTGTTGTCGGAGAAGTCGTTGTCGGAGAAGTCGTTGTCGGAGAAGTTGTTGTCGAAGATGTTGTTGTCGGAGAAGTTGTTGTCGGATATGTTGTTGTCGGAGAAGTCGTTGTCGAAGATGTTGTTGAAGATGTTGTCTGAGGAGCTTTTGTCGAAGATGTTGTTGTCGGAGAAGTCGTTGTCGAAGATGTTGTTAAAGATGTTGTCAGAGGTGCTGTTGAAGGTGACGTCTGAGGTGTTGTTGCCTGAGATGTTGTTGTCGGAGATGTTGTTAAAGATGTTGTCACAGGTGATGTTGAAGATGATGTCTGAGGTGTTGTTGTCGGAGATATAGTTGAAGATGTTGCTGGAGATTTTGTCACAGGTGTTGTTGAAGATGTTTTCTGAGGAGTTGTTGTCGGAGATGCTGTTGAAGATGCTGTTGAAGATGTTTTCACAGGTGTTGTTGAAGATGTGGTCTTAGGTGTTGTTGTCGGAGACGTTGTTGTCTGAGATGTTGTTGTTGAAGATGTTGTCTGAGGTGTAGTTGTCGGAGATGTTGTTGTCGGAGATGTTGTAAAAGATGTTGTCACAGATGTTTTTGAAGACGTTGTCTGAGGTGTTGTTGTCGGAGATGTTGTTGTCGGAGATGGTGTTGTCGGAGATGTTGTTGAAGATGCTGCTGGGGATGTAATTGTTGATGTTGTTGAAGATGCTGCTGGAGATGTTGTTGAAGATGGTATCGGAGATGTTATTGAAGATGTTGTCAAAGAGGTTACTGGTGATGTTGCTTGAACAAGTGAACCACTTGATGGAGTCATAGCACGTGTTGAATAATACGCCGTTGACTCTTCATCTGTAGTGATTTGAGATGTTGCGTAAGACTGGGGCGTACCTTGCGTTGTCGAAGACGAGAGGCCAAAGATATTGATTTCTGTTTCAGTTGTGACATTCTCACAATTTCGATGAGTGAAACCAGGCGGGCAGTTGCACATGTACCCGGACAATAATTCCAAGCAGGTTCCTCCATTTTCACACGGATTGTCAGCGCACTCTGAGAAAGGAAATTGTTTTATCAGAAAGAGAAACATTTAGTTAACATATTATATGTAACAACAAGGACTACCGGACAGAGAGAGTCAAAATTGTTCCCTGTATTCATTCTTGTTTAAATAAATTTCGGAAATCTAGCCTGACCTATCAAGCATTGTTGGAATATAATAATTACACTTTGGTAGCCCCAAGCAATTATTTTTCTTTCTAATTAATGGGAATAAGCGCGATCTACCTCACACTCACCCCGAACACTGGAAGTATGAAAGATTGTAATAAACCAAAGCTTCAGTCTCACTGTGGCATTTGTTTATAAATGCAAACGCAAATATAACTGATTCGAGACTCCGTAAAATGTCCTTTCTAATCATGTGTCAAGATTTAACCATTAGCACATTTTTGTGGAGATATTGTGATTCGCGTTGTTCTTTTGGTATCAATCGTATTTGGAAGTAATACACATGTACTGTCTTTAGAATCGCAGATACCCTAACAGCGATTTCAAGTGTAGTCGTGTTGCTACGCCCTGAGAATCAATACGAATGCAACACTTTAAATTATAAATTATATTTCGAACACGATGACAGTTGGAAATGTGTCAAAGAAATAAAGAGGACTAGGACAAAAACGAATGATGTATAGCCTACAGTTACATGCATTATCAGTATTATAGCATGGATAACACTAATAAGTATACATTTGCAAATTAGTTTCTAAGTGAATTGCACAAAAACTTAGAAATGTTATACCTTCTTGCAGTTTACATGCAGTATGAAGTACAGGGTCACCTGGGAATGATGGCCAAGTATTCAAGATCCTCACTGCTATAGGATTGAGGATAGTCCCATTCGCTAGGGTTATCACATTACAGCGATATGTGCGGAAAAGTAATCCTATAAACATTGAAATTGAAACGGTTAAAATACCATGACAGATGTAGAGCGGTAATTTAACAAAACAAAGAACATTAATGTATTAAACATGTGTATTAATATTTTTTCCACAAAGGTTGTTGAAGTGAGCACAAAATAAATAAATGTTGATGCTGATTCTGCTGTTGTTGTTATTGTTGACGTTGTTGTTGTTGTGTTAATGTCAATCAAACTTACATCATATTTTATCATGTGTTTGACGTATGTGTATATTTGTATTTCTAGCTATGAACATGCTCAAGAGAGATGAAGGTTTCTGGTATAGAATATATGTTTATGACTATTCGGGATTCTCTTATTGGAGTAGACCATTAATGTATCAACATTTCATATTGCAAGATCATATTAAATGTTTACATGAAAATAGTATAGTAATAATGACTGCCATGAGAGACATAGTTGTTTTTATATGCTCAAGTGGAGGTTACATCGTGCTATTGCCCCGAGGTGTGCCGAGTGTAAAAGCACTGAAATTTCGACCAATCAGATTGCTGGATTTCTTAAGTGAGGTTTATAATAATATATACGTACCCTTAACAAATGTTGTACGGCCGAATGTTGGCGTACCTTGCGATGCTGCCGACGAGAGGCCGATGCTACTGATTTCTTCTTCGGTTGTGACACTCTCACAGTTTTGACTAGTGAAACTAGCTGGACAGTTGCACATGTAGCCGGACAATAATTCCAAGCAGGTTCCTCCATTTTCACACGGATTATCAGCACACTCTGGGAAAGGAAATTGTTTTAACAGAAAGATTAGGAAAGTTATATTACATCAAGGACTGCCTGTATTCAAGCTGGACCTCTCAAGCAATGTTCGAATATAATCATTAAAGTTTGGAAGCCCCAAGCAAATCTTTTTTAAAATCATTGATGGGACTAAGGGCGAATTACCTCACAATTACCCTGAATCCATTTATGCTAGAACAATAGAAGAGTGAAAGATCATAGTATTCCAAAGAGTCAGTCCCACCATGGCATTTTTCAAAATATATATGCAAACAAAATGTAACTGATTCGTGACATTTCCTTCTTCTATATGTGTCAAAGATTTAACCAGAAGTACATTTCTGTGGAGAAATATCAGTTTTTGAAATAGTGATTCGTTTTGTTTTTGGTTTCAATCGTGTTTTGAAATAATGAAATAATTAACTGTCTAGAATCGCATATACCCTACAGCAATTTCAAATGTAGTCCACACTTGTTTTTATGCCACGAGAACTGATACGAGTGCAATACTTTGAAATTATGAATCTTTTTTTTTTTAGCACGATGACAGTGGGAAATGTGACAAAGAATACAATAGTTTGACGTGATTTGCCAAAGAAATATAAAAGGCCTAGGATTAATAAAATATGTTATGCATTGCCTACAGTTCCATGCATTAGATAGAAAATGTACAGTTACAAACTAATATTCGAGTGAATTATCTATATATTTGGAAATATTACCTGGTAGCAGTTTACACGCAATATGAAGGGCAGGGTCCCCTGGGAACGATGGCCGAGCATTCGAGATCCTCACTGCTATAGGATTGAGGATTGTCCCATTCACTAGGGTTATCACATTACAGCGATGTGTACGGAAAGGTAATCCTGTATCAACAACAAATAACAATAAAATCAATTTGATATACCCCGGTGTATTAATTTTTTTTTGCCCAGAAAGGCTGTTGTTGTGAGAACAAATAAAATATATCATTTTTGCGTTGTGGCTGCTTTTGTTATTGTTGCCATTATTGTTGTTGTTGTTGCTATTTTTGTTATTGTTGTTGTTTTAATGTCAACCAAACACAAATTATAGTCTTATCATGTATTTAACGTTTAACGTGTATTTGTATTTTTGCTACGATCATGATTAAACAGAGATGAAGGGTCTGGTGAAGAATATGTTTATGACTATTCGGGGTTTATATTATTGGAGCAGACCATATACAGTTAACAACTGCATTATCCATAGCCTTACCAAGTTAGTCATTTGTCAAGTACGCGAAAAATTGATTTGTCCCGATTTATGTTTCTTGAGAATGTGACATTCAACGTTACATCTGACAGTATTCAACAAAAACCTTAATTCAACCCGTCCATTTTAATTCTTGATATGAAGAGCTTAATTCCAAAAGGAGCTAAATCCACTTTTGATGAAAATAGAGTTAATGATATCAAAACATTGTTCACTTTAGTACCCGTCTTTGAACAAAATTATTTACTTAAATTTTTGGAGCAAAAATTCAACTTCTAATATCACTTTTACATAGACGTCTGTACAAAATCTGGTAAACAAAGGCTTTTTTTCTCCGAATTTACAAACCTGGATTTAGCTCCTTTTGGAATGAAATTCTTCATATATGAAAAAATACAAAAACATCACATTTACAATTATGTATTTAGATATATAGATATACAAACATTTTGTATTTCAAGAACATTTTGAATTTTCACATAAGAATAGTGACATGTACGTACCTTTCACAAATCTTGTAAGGCCGAGTAAAAGCGTCAAAAGTCGAAGTAAGGACACTTCCTGGAACAGAAGATATAGTTGTAAATATGGAAACTATGTTCAAAAACACAGTTTTACCGTAATTGTTATAGATCTTTGATATCAAATCTTATGTTTATCGGTAATTACATTAAATGTGTTGATATACTAAGTAGCTAATGAATTTCCAATTATGTTGTGTCTCAATTTTATTAAATTCAAGCTGTTCTGGAAAATGAAGCAGTAATTTCAAGTTCTGAATCCTACTGTTGATGAATGTACGTTTGATATAGATTTGTGAAGAAAAAAAATTGAGCCTGTTCATAAACAGGGACATTTCTTTAAAATTGAGTTTTATCTACCCTCAGTTGAATGAAGACAGGAATAGATTCTTTAAATACGAGCTGGTAATTGTGAATTTGACCCCAATAATATCAACAACAAAAAAAAAAACCAAAAATTGTTTTCAAATAATGAGTCCTAGAGTCCTAGTCCTGTTAAGAAGTGATACGATATGCATGTCCAAATATAGTAATAATAATAATAATGTCTTAGACATACATTCTCCCTTAGGACCCTGCAATTACATCATTACCCCGGCTTTAGTGAGCTACCATGAAAAGGCGCTTGAGCATTCAAAACAAATTCTTCCTACCGAGTAGCCATTACCTCACCATGGTTGGGTGTGGAAAATGTAAATTCATATCTTGCCAAAAGACATTAGTGCCGAGGCGGTACTCGAACCACGAACCATGCGATCCACAGTCCAGTAACATATCCACTAGACAGCAATACCTCTAAAATACTTGTTGTATTTCACCAAGGACGTGCAAACAGAAAATGCTTCCAGCCTGTTTCCCCCCTCAGGAGAATTAAAATAATGTCTAAAACAACATCACTTCTTCAGAACACTATTCATTGATTACACATCTACAGTAAATTAGCTGTTCCAGAAAAGTATACAAATATATACAGTCAATGTGTGAAGGAATATGCTTAGAAATGTACGTGTATACTTTACCATTTTCTTATTTCCAAGAGAAGTAAATTCAATCAAGTCAAAATGAATCCTTCTACGGTCGACATTCAGAGAAGAAGACAAAGTTTTGAGAAACCTTTGCTAAAAATAATGATAAAATACATTTTCTTCTGCCCCTTCGCTTCGACTGTCTAATTGAATTTTTTAATCACAATAGATCAATAAGAGCTTTGTCAGTCCCTCTGTGACGTCGTTCTTTCTCTCTCTCTCTCTCTCTCTCTCCATTTCCCCCTCCCCCATTCCGCTCTCTCTCTCTCTCTCTCTCCTTTCCCGCTCCCCCTCTCCGCTGCATCTCTTTTGTTCTCTTTTCACTTCTCCTCCGTCGCTTTATCTCTCTCTCTCTCTCTCTCTCTCTCTCTCCCCCCTCTCTCTCTATCTCTCCCCTTCTCTCACTCTCTCTCTCTTTCTTCTCTCTCTCTCTCTCTCTCTCTTTTCACCCTCTCTCTTCCGTTTACGTGGTAACTTTACAATAAAACGTTTATAGACTGCATAGTTCTTCACTGATATAACAACAATTAAATAGATGATCAATGCATATTGCTTGTTTCTGGGGCAAAAGAAAACAGTCCATTAAATCTTCATGAATAATATGTTTTTACTTCCCTACTGATGATATTGTATATACCATATCCTGGAACCTTGCCCCCACATTCGATTTTCAAATTTTCATGACCGATACAATCAGAAAATGTTTCTGCTCAGATTGTGGGCGATCACGTCAAGTTAGAACATCAATTAAAACATGAATATTTGATGCTTATACGTGCATGGGACAATAGGCCTATCAATCCATTCAATGAGTGACCTTGTTTGTTCTAGTTGTCAATGGTGATTGAATAATTGACCTGTGCAATGTGTATACCAAACATAACGGACTCATCTAAAATACAGAAAGTAGAAGAAGAGAAAGAGTGGAGAGTTGAAGGGCGAAATACTGAGTGTGTCGAATTTCATCAAAATATATATTGCCTACACCGTATGTACACACAAAACCCCTTCAAAAAGCATGATGCAATATCTAATGCAATTACACATTGATTGACGCACCGAACTATAATAAAGATGATTCCAGTCAAAGAAAATTATTTTCCAATATAAACAGATTTAAAAATAATTATTAGAATAATTATCACAGTTGTATTAATGACGAACTTTACAAAAAGTCTTTTGATGTGCATTCAAGCAGACCCCCCTCTCTCTCTCTCTCTCTGTTTCTTTCTCTCTCTCTCTCTCTCTCTATCTCTCTTTATATCTATCTATCTATCTATCTCTCTTTCTCTCTCTCTTTCTCTCTCTCCCTCTCTCTCTCTTTCTCTCTGTTTCTTTCTTTCTCTCTCTCTATCTATCTATCTCTCTATCTCTCTCACTCTCTCTCTCTCTCTCTCTCTCTCTCTCTCTAGCTGTGTGTAATTGTGTGGGTGTGCATGTCTCTCTCTCTCTCTCTCTCTCTTCCTTATCATCGCCATTTGATTGGTCCCTCATGCACACCGTAGCTACATAATTACCTTGTTCACCGTTGGGAATCTTATTTAATTATTAAAATGTTGAAGTACTTTATAACCTTTCTCTTATGATAATGTGTACTTTCTTTTGAAAAACTGTACTGACATGATGCTCATGTGGGAAAATTATAATGCCCGCGTCACACTGGCCCGAACTTGACACTAGATGGACACACGATGAAGGAAATGTTCAAATTCGGCTCTGATCGTAAATACATCGGGCCATATCGGGCCATTCGTGAGGGCATCTGAAGCCATCGTATGACCGCCGGTGGATTTTTCAGGTTCCGGCAGCAACTTCGTTATGCCCGCGTCACACTGTCCCGAAGTTGACACCAGGTGGACACACGAATATGTAATTTTGAATTTCGCACGAAGATGGCCCCGAACTTGTCAACAGCCAATCAACAGCCGAAGGAAGTACGATGCCTACAGAAGGTCAGACGATGGCACCCGAACCACACACGAATGCAATACGAAGATGAGAATTTTTATTAAGTAGTTGATCCGCAGGCCACACAATGGCTATACGACGTCGTATTGAGAGTACGATGCGTTCGAATTAGGTCACGAAGGCGTCCCATGACGCCCCTCATGGTAGAAGACCTTCGGCCGACGGTGGGAATTTTAATTGCTGATCGGAGATCAAGGATGCTCAGAGTATTTGAATTGAATGACTATAATATTGTTATATTTATGTTTTTATGTCATAAAGGTATTATTCCTCCTAGTCTATCAAACAAATTTCTTTTAAATTCTGAAGTACATTCATATATAACTAGACAATCATCTCATTTTCATTTACCACTTATCAAAACTTCTGTCTCTAAAAATTCAATTTTCTTTAAAGGACCAATTTTATGGAATGAGTTACCTCCTAACGTTAAATCAAGCCCAACTCTGAATACATTTAAAAGAAGATACAAACAATTACGTTTATGTGAATAGTATTTTATTAGTTTTTATATATGCAATCAGGTTTTAGATGTTAGGTGTTAGTTGTTATGTGTTAGGTGTTAAAGTTGATACTCTAAGCAAATAAATGTCCCTTAATTTGTTACCTACGGCAAGTATATGTTATTTTTAAGTTTTTCAATTACTTAGCATATCACAAAAAAAATCTGTCTACTCGAAATCCTCAATTGAAATGTCTAAAATATCCGCCTCTCTTTGCATAGAAAATCAGTCACGGCGCTGGTCTACTATTTATGACCTCACGTCCGGGAGAGAGTATATTCACGTACCCGGATGTTCCATAGCAAACATGTGCAGAGTGATACGATTTTCTGCATATTTTTGTTTCAAAGGCTGAAAAGTCTAATAAATCATAATTCTATGTACAATTCTTTACCTTCCCCTAGTACTTCATAGTATTAATATCAATTCCCCTTTTAAAAATTATGACATATACATGCCAACGATGTGCTATTAGTCGATATTTTCACCATGTAATTTTTGTTTTGGTGTTGAAATCGGCCCAGGCACGGAGTGAACAGTAGCTGTCTACCCATGCACAGTTCATTACCATACACTACAGCGATCTCCCGATGGTTTCTTCTTCCTTTTTCCCATGTCTTTCGCCTTCCTTGGCCCTGAACATCCTTCATCTACCAATTCTGACACCGGTAGTCAGGAGCAAGTCTTTGTTAGTTGTTTTTCTTAGCTGGCAACGTCGCTTTCATTCTCTTGCAATTGCCGATAAACATATAGCTAGCGCACGTACGTTCCATCACAAGCAAGCAGCGCCTAGAGCAGCGGCTTGGTCTTACCTCCCGATTCTGCTCGCTTTACGAACGTTCATGCAAGAGCCGCATCACTCGCCAAAATATTATAGAGGAAGCGCGCTTGCATGATCTCGTTCAAGTTTGATATTTTACAACATAAAATGTTTAACTGGTACTGTATCCTTTTTTGAGGCAGTCACACACATCTATGATAAGTACTATCATAGTTCTAGACCTATTCGTTTTACAAAACTGCTCATCATGACAATATAATGCATCCGCCTATTCATAAGTGCACGATTTAACTTTAATTCCTATAAGCAGTAAACTCGTCTTAAATCTCTACCAAATAGGTGAATATGAGGATATAAAAAGAAATCAGCGACTGGAAAATGTTGCTTCGTTATTCTTCATTCAAATGAAAACAGAAAATCCATCAAATATACTCCTTAACAACAACAAATCTAAGCTCTGACAGGATAGCATTTACGTAGGGATATCACTGCCATTCACTCTCACTGAGCCCATGACTCCCGTTCGTGACGTCACGGATAGAGGCTCGACTCTACGTGCACTTCCGGGTTTCAGACTTAGATATTTTGGTAGAGTTTACTCGAATAAATTCATTATTCTAAACTTGTTTTGTCGGGTGGACACCATTTGGTGTTATTATGGGGGTTAAAAGCTTTCTATTTATGTAATTATCTCAGTATTTGGGATTGTCTTAGAGTATCAACTTTAAGTTTTATAGGTTAAAATTGTCGCTAGGGACCAGCCCCACACAAGACTTAAATGTTCTTTCTTGCTGGTTCCTCATTCGTTATATATATGTATTTTATGTTTGTCTTTCGTTATGTTGTTTGTATGTACTTTACTTATCTGTAAATATCAATGTTTTAATCATGTATGTTTTTTATATGACGAATGAAATAAAATGAAATGAAAAAAATGAAAATGAAAAATGAAAATGAAATGAAATGAAATGAAAAAAAATGAAATGAAAGAGCAGGGGCGGCGGAGCGACTTCCAAAGTTGGGGACGGGACCAACAAAAGGGGCACTTTCTGGAGAAAAAAAGGGCACCTACAAAGATAAATCTCAAAGCGAGAATACATCCAATTTGGTAAACATTGGTATATACCCCTACATTGTGATTACATTAATTGGGATGCTTTCAATATTTGTTTCTCTTTTTACATCTTACAATATGTTGTTTAAGCATCATACTTTGCAATTGGGTGTGATGGTCTGAATATTTATATGTAAGGGGCACTTATCGCACCTGAAAAGAAACATCGACCAGATATAAAAAGGGGTACTTATGAGAAGGAAAAGGGACACTTTAATGAAGGCAAAGGACATTTATGAGAAGGGGAAGGAGCTCTTTTTTAATAGGGGCACTTATCAAAAGAAAAGGGGCACTTATTAGATTGGAAAAGGGGCACACGTGAAAATAAAAGGTGCGCTAATTGGATTTAAAATGGGTATTTATTAAAAGGGTAAGAGACACTTCCTAGAAAGGGCACTTTACAAAGTAAAAGGGGCATCTCTCAAATTTGAAAAGGTTAATGAAGGGGGCATTTATCAAAAGTGAAAAGGGGCACTTCTCGTACCTGAAAAGGGGCACTTACTATAGATTTAAAAGGGCACTTATGAGAATTAAAAATGGATACATATTGCAAAGGAAATGGGGAGTTGTCGAAGGAAAAGAGTCACGTGTAAAAATAAAAGGGACATTTATCATTGGGAGAAAAGTAATAGAGGTACTTTCTAAGATAAAATGGGCCCTTTTCCTATGTAAAAATGGCCACCTCGGGGCACTTGAAAATCCTGTGGCTCTGAGGCTGGCTTTTTCATGGGAAACGCTTGAGCTACTTAAATTCGGCTGTCTTCGCCGACACCGTGGTCCCATCTCGATGTCATCATAATTTTTATAATACGATGGTTACACGATGGCATTGCGAGGGCTTTACGTAGTCGTGTTGCCTTCCGAAGTCAATCGGGCAGTTTCTTGTTTCATTCGTATTGTCTTCGTGATGCGATAAATGCCCATTGGCACCGATGATCACACGAAATAAAGACAAAGATGACACAATTTGACAAGATGCCCTCACGATGGCCTTACGAAGGGCAACATGGACACACGAATTTAACACGAAAATGAACCTTCGCAAGGTCTCCGGGCAATTTTTTGGCACGCCAAAGATTTTTTGCAATCGCTCACAAAGTTGCTGCTGGTGCCTGAACGGTCCCCTGGCGGTCATACGATGGCTTAAGATGCCCTCACGAATGGCCCGATATGACACGATTTCTTTACGATCAGAGCCGAATTTGAACATTTCCTTCATCGAGTGTCCATCTTACGTCAACTTCGGGACAGTGTGACGCGGGCATAAGCGGTGGCCAAATCTTTGGCATGCAGACAAATTTCCCGAAGACCTTGCGAATGAAATGAAATGAAATGAAACTTTGGGACAGTGTGACGCGGGCATAACAGTTGTGAAAACTCCGACTCTGTGTTTTGATTGATGGATTATAATACTGTAAATGTAGTAGCGCCATCTTTCGTCTTCGTTATTTTTTTTAAGGGGGCCAGATCATACTCTTTTGTCCCATAGGTTACATCTCAGAATATATTACATTTACCTGGACATTGGATTAAGTTGATAACTCGACTTGAGTTGTTGAGGTTTTATTATTCAAACGTTCAATTACAGTCATATTACAATAACAACAACAACAACAACAAATGTATGTTTAACAAATATCTCGAATGAATAATAGGAACCAGAAAATAGCATGAAATGCTAATCATGTCTGGTAACTTAGAACAGACTATTGACTAGGTATGAATTGACATGACACCTCTTTCATCAAGTTCCGGGGTCAAGTTAAGTCCAGGCCCTGTCTTATAAACAGTTGCGATTGATTCGGATCAATCGCAACTATGTGAAAAAGACAGGTCCGAGTCTCAGAACTCCACAATTTTTTTGTAACATGTAGGACACCAAATAAACAAAACACATTGGATTAGCTCAAATATTCTGCCTGATTGACATCGCAGTGGAATATTGCCGCCATTAAGCAAAAGGACAGGATGTTTGTAGAGAAGTATACAACTGTACATTCCCCTCGCCCGAAGAAGAAACATTTAAAATGTTGAAGAAAAGAAAATGAGCTGCGAAAGCGTTGTCATGTATACAGACCCATGAAAGTAGGCGCCCCCTCCCCTGCACGAGAGTTTAAGTCAACCTCATCTAAATCAATGTTAAAGTGGTATTCTTTACATTGCAATTTTATAGTGACAAAAAGAAGGAATGGGAAGGTTCTGCAGACCTCTCCTCCTTCCATACACACCTACATCCTCATCCCACACAAAGTAAAGAGACTCGCTTTTCGCACACAATTCTACAATGTATGCAAACAAACCACTATAAGTTCATACGTTCATTTTAATACATGACATAATGACATTTAAAACAGTTTCCATTAAGCGGGGTTTTTTGTAAGGATAATTTTTGAAAAAGCATTCCTTATATAGCATTAATAGTTTCAAAGTGTTACAAGGTGTCGGGATATTGACGGTTAGGTCACCGGACCGCAAACCATGTGATCACATGGTTTGCGGTTCGAGTCCCGCCGCAACATTCATGTCCTTTAGCATATTACTCTACATGTGCCACTTTTCGCCCATGTGTAGTAAATGGGTACCTGGTAGGAGTGTATTACTTGAATGATCGTAGTGCCTTAGGGCAGCTGGGCTAAATCCAGGTTAATAATGTTTCTTTGTAGGCGCTTTGAGCATCCCCTGGGATGGATAAGTAGGCAATATAAATGTAGCTATAATCTATCATCCTCAATATCATATTCTCTGTCTTTATTCAATTGTATATATTCAAAACAACAAGTTTTCTTGAAATGTAGTCGTGAATTATAAATAAATGTTTGAAAGAAACTCCCAACTTGCTTATGTACGTAGGTTAAATCCCATGATGTATAGTCCGAAAATTATATTGTTTGATATCATATTGTGTAACAACAGGCTAAACAGTAAAGGATGTTTATTTCAAACTTCTTGAAATCATTTCTACATGGTGCTTCATGTAGTAAAATTAACATTACGATATTAAAAAACATACAACAGGCCAGTTGAACCTAAAATTACAAGATTAAAGCAAAATTTCTTGCATGCAAGTAGAATTTAAATCACCCATTTCCTAAGGATCAAACTAATACAAGATGTTGTCTACATTGTTTATCATTACACGAATCAATCAATGCGCCATTAATCCTCGCCATCGTTGATATCGCTATCGCTGTCGTCGACTTCCACATCACTGTCACCGCCACCTCCGCCATCTAATGGAAATAAATAAAACAAATTGGAAATAATAATTTCTACTAGGAACAACCATTTCGGAGATTGTGCTACTCTACTTTTGAATTTCAAGTTACGTTTCATAGTGCGTGACGTAGCCTGATTTTATTAACTTATCAGTAGGCCTTTTCATAAAAGGATTGCGTTACACTCGAATTGTGCCGTAATTTTCGGTGTTTTGCACGGTTTTGCGTCGAACAAAGAAAAATCAAAATATTTTCGTAGAATATGGCCTACAGAAAACGATATGGGCCTGAAAAGGGGTGTTCCTTTTAATATACAATAAGCTTCATCAGTTTATGTGAGGATATATTCTGCTCTCATATCATTTGTTCAACACACGCTCCTATTTTTTTCGAGGGGGGGGGGGTGGGTTAAAGTCAGGGTTTATTGGTACTACTTGCAAAAATAGTACTACTTATTGAATTTATATAGCAGAAAACAACAAGATAGTAAAATTGGCACAACAGATGTCGAGTTGTGCGCCGAATATCCCTATAAATTAGCAATGCCGATTTGTCGACGTAGAAAACAAAGGCATATGTCAAATGAAAAATACATTTTGTTCTGAATGAGCATGAACATTATGAGTGGCTTCTTTAGATATCTACGGATTAGCGAATGAAAGCACATGGCCTGGGTGACCATATAAATGATATTAAAAATTTTATGAAAATGTCAACATATCTAATTAAATAAAATATGGTAATTTTGCTTTAAACTCACTGATCGGTATTGACTGCGTAGATGATTTCCGGTTCATCTTTATTGTTGACTTGCTGGTTGTTGCGAGAATCTTGTGTGTTGTTGACTGGGTAGTTGTTGCGGGACTCTTGTGTGTTATTGACTGGGTGGTTGTTGCGGGACTATTGTGTGTTGTTGACTGGGTGGTTGTTGCGAGACTATCGTGTGTTGTTGACTGGGTGGTTGTTGCGAGACTCTTGTGTGTTTGTGACTGGTAGCTTGTTGCGGGACTCTTGTGTGTTTGTGACTGGTAGCTTGTTGCGGGACTCTTGTGTGTTGTTGAATGGGTGGTTGTTGCGGGAATCTTGTGTGTTGTTGACTGGATGGTTGTCATATGGCCCAGCGAAGTGAATGTCTGATACGTTGTTGTACGACCTGATCGTGTTGTACGCTCTAAAGAAATTGGAGACTGAGTAGTTACAAGAGCTGTTGACTTGTCAGATGTTGTATGACTCTTTAATGTTGTTGACTTGCCAGTGGTAATCATGTGTCTGAAAGATGTTGTTAAATGGGTACTTGTGCTAGTCCTATTTTGTGTTGTTGACTGGGCCGTTGCTATATGGTTCTTCAGTGCTGTTACTGCTGTATACTTGTCAGTAATTGTGGTGTGACTTTTTGGTGTTGTTGACACTGCGATTGTTAAGTGGCTCAGAAATGTTGTAGACTGGGTGTTTGTTCTAGGCTGGATCTTGGTGCGACTCGTCGTAATGTCTGCTGTTGTTACCTGTAAATCTGTACAAAAATAATAAATATCTAAGAGGATATATGCAGTATGGCCTTGTTTAAATTATTTAGATATCTATTTTTAAGTTAATGCTCAGCTTTTTTGTTTACACTGTACTTATCTTCCATCATTCAATTACATATTGGATAGACAGGATATAGACTAACTTAATCTGACATTACATGATAGTCAAGCTGAATAAAACTGACTAACCCGCTATATTTTAGTGGATTGATAACTTCCAAGTTATGGCGAAATAGAGACTTATTAAAGAACAAATACATATTTCGGTTGAACATTCAATTTGATTCCCTGGAAATTCAGATTTTAGACATGTATTACTATTCAAAGACGCTAAGTATGAAAAGGGCACTGTAAAGAAATTGAAGGCTGTATCTTCCTGTGTATATGTTGCTTAAATAGCTTAGCTACTTTGGTACGTGCAAGGTGTTAAATATATAGAATTTCCATATATAAATACCTGTTTCCCTTGAATTGATTTCCAGGATTTGATGACAGTTTCTGTAAGTGAAACCAGGCGGACAGTTGCACATGTACCCGGACAATAATTCAAAGCAGGTTCCTCCATTTTCACACGTATTATCAGCACACTCTGTATCAAAACAATATATATTCAGAATAGGAAAGGAGATTGACACATGACATTCGTTCCTACAAGATGAGAGATGAGATATGTACTCGGATGTTCGTTATAAACATGTTGAAATATGATACTGATAATCCGTTCTAGCATAGCGTATCCATATAATAATACGCTAAGGCGTCGAGGGGGGTATCCGGGCTCCATTTTACGGCGCCCAGATCTCCCCTCCCGCCCGCCCCCGGGCGCCGCCGGGTGGTCCCGCGGACGGACGGGGTTTCAATCTACAGAATTGGCCACGTCCCGGCCCGGTGCGACGTCCCGGTCGTCGTCGACGTCGTCGATGCGTCCGCACGTCTCACTTATCCGTCACGAATTTCATGCTCTAGCATGAAACGGAAGTGGACGAGCGGTCTGAGGCGCCGGTTGCGTTCGTTTCGCCGGCAGCTCTTGCACTTTTTGCACGCACGGGTTCGATCCCGCCTCCGTCTCAAGTGTTTTTTTTCTTCTTCCCCGTGTTTGTTTTGTATATTTTAGATGTTGTAATCTTTACCATTTTTTTTATTTTAATTAAAATGTAGACCTCATATTTAAAATTTAAACGAGTCGAGTCTTTATTTGATATTAATTAGCTTATTTCATGATCAGCGCAACAGATGTCTTCCCATCCACGTCCAAACTTAGAGACCTATTTCCATCATTATTGCCGGGATTTTTATATAGTTTTCGTGAGTGGAGGTATGAAATCAAAGCTTATTTTGTGATTATTCTGGCCATGTTTACTCAGTTTTGATTATCATTTATTAAAGGAAAGTTTTCACAAGAAAATCAGAGAAAAACATCGTTCAGTTTCAAGAGCTCTGCCGTACGCATACAGTGTGTAGTGCAGTGCACTCTAGCTGCGCTGGCTGCTCGACTGAGTGAGTGAGTGAGCTATTCAGAGTCGAAGAGACTATGAAGGGCCAAACATGCCAATATTCGACAACTATACGCTATATTATGTATCCATCCATGTGACTATTTATGTCTATCCATTCATTGAAGTAGGCCTACACGTGAACACAACAGCGGGCAGGCCGAAGTGCCATAAGATCGTTGGGGGGAGGGGGGGGGGGGGGGGGGCAAAATATTTTTTTTTGCATCTTACATGTTACAAAAAAATCTGCATCTTACATGTTACATGCAGACCCCACAAAACATTTTTCAAAGTGTGGGGGGGGGGGGGTCAGGTAGATCGAAGCGAGTTGAGTGTAGGCGTGGGGTCCACGGGTTGTGGGGGGGGGGGCGAGGGGGATCAGGTAGATCGAAGCGAGTTGAGTGTAGGCGTGGGGTCCACGGGTTTCAAGGGGCCATAAACCCCCGAAAGCTCGGGGGGTTTAGGCGTTTAATTAGGGTCAGATGAGCATATTTTTAATACTTTATTTGGGGTGGGGTCAATACGTAGAGTTGCGTAGTGTTGCGTACCAACTACGCTGGCCTACGTTACTATATGCTGGGGGACGGAAACTTGACGCAGAAACTTGACGCAGAAAGTACGCCTTTTTACGCAACACTACGCTACATGACTACGCAACAGTACGCTACCCTACGCCAGATTGACAAAGCAGTAAAAGCTTTCCACACAGTAAGCAACCATAAGCAAACCTGTACGCCAGCCTACGCATAACCTACGCAGGGACTATTTTCCCATTAATACGCAGCCTAATTTCTGCGTAGTCGGTACGCCACACTACGGAACTCTACGCAGTTCCAGTGGCTTAAAGAATAACTACCGGTATAGTTGGATCGTTTTTGTTTTTTTATATAAGGCCAAATTAAAAAAAAAACATGTTTAGCGTCCTGTTTTTTCGAAAAATGGGAAGGAGGCCCTTTTTTTCTTTTCTTTTTTCTTTCAAAATGGCCGCTCCGTACATTTTCCCTGACATTCAGCCTATTTTTCAAGATGGCGGCCGACAATTTTTTTTTTTCTTTTTTAAAATCAGAAATACATTTTAGCAGTGCTTTTCATGTTTTTTTTCTTTCAAAAAAAAAAAATAAATTAAAAAAAAAAAAAAAAAAAAAAAAAGGAGGCGGCCCCCAAAAAGGAAGCAGGCGGGAACGCTGTTTTTTTTCTTTCAAAAATAAAAAAAATAAAAAAATAAAATATTTAAAAAAAAAGCGGGCGGGGACGCTAAACATGTATATTTTTTTAATGGCCTGAATGGCAAATAAAGTTCTTGGTGGTTTTAATTTAGACAGTCTCTATATATCTATTTACACCCCCGCCCCCCTCTAGGATCCCGCGGATTTCCGCGGGTCCTGCTAGTCCATATAATAATACGCTAAGGCGTCGAGGGGGGTATCCGGGGTCCATTTTACGGCGCCCAAATCTCCCCGCCCGCCCGCCCCCGGGCGCCGCCGGGCGGTCCCGCGGACGGACGGCGTTTCAATCTACGGAATTGGCCACGTCCCGGCCCGGTGCGACGTCCCGGTCGTCGTCGACGTCGTCGATGCGTCCGCACGTCCTACTTATCCGTCACGAATTTCTTGCTTTGGCATGAAACGGAAGTGGACGAGCGGTCTGAGGCGCCGGTTAATTTGCGTCCGATTCGCCGGCAGCTCTTGCTCTTTTTGCACGCACGGGTTCGATCCCGCCTCCGTCTCAAGTTTTTTTTTTCTTCCCCGTGTTTGTTTTGCATATTTTAGATGTTGTAATCTTTACCATTTTTTTTATTTTAATTAAAATGTAGACCTGATATTTAAAATTTAAACGAGTTGAGTCTTTATTTGATATTTATTAGCTTATTTCATGATATCTAGGCCTAAAAGTAAAATCAGCGCAACAGATGTCTTCCCATATCCACGTCCAAACTTAGAGACCTATCTCCATCATTATTGCCGGGATTTTTATATAGTTTTCGTGAGTGGAGGTATGAAATCAAAGCTTATTTTGTGATTATTCTGGCCATGTTTACTCAGTTTTGATTATCATTTATTAAAGGAAAGTTTTCACAAGAAAATCAGAGAAAAACATCGTTCAGTTTCAAGAGCTCTGCCGTACGCATACAGTGTGTAGTGCAGTGCAGCTGCGCTGGCTGCTCGACTGAGCTGAGTGAGTGAGTGAGCTAGCTATTCAGAGTCGAAGAGACTATGAAGGGCCAAACATGCCAATATTCGACAACTATACGCTATATTATGTATCCATCCATGCGACTATTTATGTTTATCCATTCATTGAAGTAGGCCTACACGTGAACACAACAGCGGGCAGGCTGAAGTGCCATAAGATCGTTGGGGGGGGGGGGGGGGCAAAATATTTTTTTTTGCATCTTACATGTTACAAAAAAAATCTGCATCTTACATGTTACATGCAGACCCCACAAAACATTTTTCAAAGTGTGGGGGGGGGGGGGGTCAGGTAGATCGAAGCGAGTTGAGTGTAGGCGTGGGGTCCACGGGTTGTGGGGGGGGGGGGCGAGGGGGATCAGGTAGATCGAAGCGAGTTGAGTGTAGGCGTGGGGTCCACGGGTTTCAAGGGGCCATAAACCCCCGAAAGCTCGGGGGGTTTAGGCGTTTAATTAGGGTCAGATGAGCATATTTTTAATACTTTATTTGGGGTGGGGTCAATACGTAGAGTTGCGTAGTGTAGCGTACCAACTACGCTGGCAACGTTACTATATGCTGGGGGACGGAAAGGGGTACGCAAGATGAACGAAAACAATTCAACATGTTTAATTTTTTTCGCGTACTTTCAGCGTAGAAACTTGACGCAGAAAGTACGCCTTTTTACGCAACACTACGCTACATGACTACGCAACAGTACGCTACCCTACGCCAGATTGACAAAGCAGTAAAAGCTTTCCACACAGTAAGCAACCATAAGCAAACCTGTACGCCAGCCTACGCATAACCTACGCAGGGACTATTTTCCCATTAATACGCAGCCTAATTTCTGCGTAGTCGGTACGCCACACTACGGAACTCTACGCAGTTCCAGTGGCTTAAAGAATAACTACCGGTATAGTTGGATCGTTTTTGTTTTTTTATATAAGGCCAAATTAAAAAAAAAACATGTTTAGCGTCCTGTTTTTTCGAAAAATGGGAA